CCCAATATAACAAACTACGTTAAACAAACAGCACTGTTTTCAAAGCACACTACACTCAGTACATGCGACTTAATATTTAAACACCATTTTAAAGTCCCGTTACAAGAAACCAGATTACAGAAATATGAATTCAAAACTGCCTTAATATTCATTGTATAACTGTCACCTGAAAAGCATTTACATAGGACAGACTTCAAAACCTACTTGACCATTTAATAAAAACAGTTCCAGCTGTAGCACCCTTAATTCAACTAAAATGGATGCCAAAGAGTGTCTGGTAGTTTAAACTGGAGGAAGTTCCAATTATTTTAGTTAGATTGCAAATGTGAAGGCTGAGATCTCATTGTTTATTCAGTTTGCCTGTCAGTCAGGGAGAGCGGAAAGGCAGGGATAACAACAGATGCACCTGGGTTGCAGAAAGTGGAGTACCCCAAGTGCTTCTCACGTTGACAGCACCTGGAAATGAGAGTCTCTTACGATGCCATTCCCCTGATGGATGGGAAGTTAGGCTGAGTCATAGGAGTAGCTGACACTTCTGGGAGACAGGCAAAGCCGAGCCTTCCTGGGTCACACAGCCATTGGTCTTGGAAAAGAGCACCATGAGAGAAAGCTCTGAAGCCCCTGGCAAAAGCCAGCTCTTCCAAAATTCCTTAAAGGTGCACTAGAGGAGTGGGGAAATTCAGGACCAGGTCTCCAGTCCAGCCAGGACCAGGTCTCCCAGATGGCCATGCCTCTTTGCCTGAATCTTGGATTGTCTGGTGGGATGGGGCAGGCCACAATCTATCTTCTCCCCAAGTCTGTCTAAATCAGGGATAGAGAACCTAAAACTTAGGGGGGGGGGGGAAATTGGCCTACCTGGGGTCCAAATCCAGTTCTCCAGAAGCCTCCAGATGTCCACACCCTTTTGCCACTTCACCTGGTGGTTCTTGTTCTGCCTACCCCAACTGCCAATCATTTGGGGTTTCCCAGGCCTTGCACATTCATTTACAAGGCTGGGACTACTCTTCCTGAGGCTTAATTACTGACTGTAAGAGCTTTAAGATCAGGTATACTAGATTTTTTGGTCTCTACCCCATTCGCCTCCAGCCTGACCTACCACTGGATGTCCTGAGATCTTCTGTAAAACTGAATTTGGCCCTTGGGCTGAGTGGACCAGCTGGCATAGCAGTTGGGCAGACCAGTATAAGATCAGATTGTAAGAGCAGTGTAAGAAAAGAACTAAAATATTACCCAAATTTCAATAACGAATATTTAAAGAGGGGTGCTTTTCCAATAGCTTTCTCTCTAGAAGAGAAAACCTGCAGAGGAAGGCAGAACGCGCTCCAACGGAGCAAAGCTCAGGGAGCCAAGGTTCCATTTGGATGCCAGGAAGCACTTCCTGACAGTCAGGACCCCGAGGGTGTGGAATGGGCTTCCACGAGAGGTCGTTGAGGCCCCATCGGAGCAGGTGTTCAAGGATAGGCTGGACGTCCACATGGTGGGCATGTCGTGAGCGGAGCCGGCTGGTGCCGGAGGTCAGACTAGATGGCCCGTGAGACCCCTTCTGACTCGCTCTGTTTTCTATGTTTCTATGTTTAAAAGACACACTCAACTGCAGAAACCTCATGCAGAACACAACTGGGAGGATATGGCTGAAAAGTCCGGTAACGTGATATGTAGCCACCTTTAGCCCAATTCTCCAAAAATGCACAGTCCATAAACAGAATGGGCTGTTTACTTGGACGGCTTAATGGCCTAGTCAAATGGCCTGCAAAAGCTGGCATTTTGCCATTAAGAGACAACACCATTTAGATTGAAGCAAACTTGCCTGCTCAGTGGAGCTAATCTGGACCGCATCACCTCACCTCTGCTTTACCCAATAATCATTTAAATGAGAGGTTTTGTTTACTGCTTAATTGGCCTCAACAGACATCTTTGAAATGCATTTTGGGAAGGAGGCATTGCCATCCTCCGGTCTGTGTCTGTGACTGAGTGGCAAAATGCCACTCCAGCATCAAACCAAAAGGCATCTCTGGCACAGTGTGTTTTTAATTAACTGCGTATTGTTTCTGGTCAAAATTCTGAAATTAATCTAAATGGATTCAAATGCAGGAAAATCCCCCATTTGCCAAAAACAAACAACAAAAGCAAGCTATTGTTCAGGTAGATACTTCTACTATCACTATTTTATCAAAACCTTCTTAGCAAGCAATTAGACTGCACTAAAAGATATTTCTACCTTGTTTATAAATTATCTTGTATACTGGGAGGGAAAAAGAGACTTTTAGCTGTTGCAACTGTTAAAACAACCGGGAGTGACTGGGTGAGATCCAACAGGAGTGCTGCCAACAATTCTGTTGCACAAGTGGAACTCACACTGCGTGTGCAATGGGAATTCAGCACTTCGAAAAACAGGTCTGAAATGAGCAGGGATCCTCGGTTTCAGGGCAGGACAGATTCACTGAGCTCCTTTGACTTGCCCCATTCCAAAAAAGGACCTTTCCACTAAAGCACTAAATCCCCGCTGGGCAGGGAAGGAGTCCTGCTGGTGCTTGGGCAGCACTAAATACTACCCAGAATCCTTAGCAGTTAGCAAACTCATGAAGATCAGCCAGAGCTCTCCTAACAGATCATAATCTATCTTCTCCCTCAATCTGCTCGAAATCAGGGGTGTGGAAGTTCAAGCTTGGGGGGCAAATCAGCTGACCTGGAGTCCCAGTCGGGTTTGCCAGGAGCCCCCAGACATCCCCACCCCTTTGCTGTTTCATCAGATCACCCAGGTGGTTCCTGTCCTGCCAAGCCTCAAGCTGAAATATGCTGCTCTTTTTGGTGTTTCAGGCTGGCCCTTTCGCCTTTGGTCGTATCCGTATTCTTTGAATGGGAATGTGGATGTGGAATGTGACCACTGAGAGCATCTCTAAAACTGAATCGAGCCCTTGGCTGAAAGAGACTTGACTTCCCTGCTCTAAATTAACATCGATTTTACGAGTGTGAAAGATGGCTGAGACATGAGTGAAATGTGTGTTAATAACAGTTTGCTAAGGTTTCCAGTTGAGAATACCAAGCACAAAACTACAACTAGGTGATCATGGTATGTGGTAAACTCCACCCCAATTCACTCTGTGCTGAACTGCCCTCTGATAATTTAGCTAATGGAATTCTATTTTATAATGTGTGTTTTAAAATATTATGATTATTTTATATGTATATTTTAACTTGTTGGTTTTATTTATTGTTGTAAGCTGCCCCGAGGCTTCGGCGAATGGGGCGGCATAAAAATGTTTTAATAAATAAATAAAAAATAAATAAAATTCTTTGGGTAAACAACAGAAAGGAGTGAATTAAAATATAAAGTATGAGAAACAACACGATGGTGACAGGGAGCCATGGGACTCCCACTGTGTCCCTGGTTCAGTCTCTGCACTGCTCCTGGTCAACAGCACCTCCGTTGGCTACCGTAAAAGCATTTTCAGCTAGAGATGCCACTGACAGCTCAGGCTCTCTCCTGTCAAAGGCCAAATGCAGACTTGCTGAAACAGCATCTAACAGAGATTACAAGGAGAGGGGCACTGTAAGGAGACGACTGCGAGCCTCAATTACAATTCTGGCCATCCCCAGACAATGCAGTGTTGTGCTGATACATCGATATAGGATTCACATTGGAAAAATAGCCCGGAGGAGATGCACAGATTCAGCTAATTCACCAAGAGAGAAAGCGTTTCATTCACTGCAGCGTTCCCTACCTCTAATGGCTTACATGCAGTACAGCATGTGAGATGGAGGGCGGGGGGCGTGTGCACCTCTTCCAAACCCGAAGAGGCCCTGATGGCAGAAACGTGGTTGACAGGCTGGGGGAGAACACAGATGACTGGAGTTCGTTACAGTAATGGGGCTGTCAGGGTCTGGATCTATTTCACATGATAGCTGGCACACAAATCAATAATGAGGCATCGAATCTAATCAGGAGTCAGAATACGGTTTCTGGGAGAAGGTTAATTTTGTTCACTGGAGTTGATGATAGTGGTGAAACAAAGAAAACTGAGAGTATGGCATTAATCTTGGGGCAAAGGAGGAGAGGGGCTCTCTCTCACATACACATGATGCATTAAAAGGGTCTATTTAAATGGGAGAGGGGAGTTAGCGCCTACTGGATTTTTCTCTTCTTCATTTAATATGTGCATATTCCAACTTTTCCTCACCACAGGACTCATTATGCAGACATAGGCCTACTTGATTTCAGCAAGTTGGCTACATCATGAGTCCCTTTGAAATCTCTTACCAGGGACAGTCCACGTACGGCCCTCCAGATGTTTTGGCCTACAGCTGCAATCAGACCCAGCTAGCACAGCTCATGGTGAAAGATCATGGGCACGGCAGGCCAACACTTGTGAGAACCACATGCCATCCACCCGTGCTCTGTGCCGCTTCCCAGAAATAAATACAATTAGTGTGTTGGACCTGGAAAAACTTTGTGATCACTGTTTGATGTATTTGGCTCATCAGAGCTTACTAGAAAACTGGAGACTTTTTCAACCGTGCAAAATAAAACAAAACCTAGCAAAAAGAAAGCATGGGGCGTAAGCGCCCCATTCCATGTTACAAGAAGAGAGAGAATGATGATGATCTAAGCAGATTGTTTGTACTAAAAGTAATCAGTTCATTTGTGTTCAGGGTTTAGGCTTAAAGGTATTTTATCCAGCCATTTAGTAGGGCCCTTCAAACTGATGCCAGCCCGGGTGCACTGGCACTCTTTACAGAAACCCTGTTATCAAGTTGTCAAGAACAGAAGTGGCTAAAGTGAAATTGCAGAGGAGTGAGATTGTTTTGGCCTAAGATGCGCGCAGCATGCTCCCTGCAAGCAAAAGAGATAACAGACCCGCGCCTGCTCCCCACCACCTAATTAGCACTCAAGGAAGCATTTGGCATCCAAACACATCTAAGCAGCTTGTAAGAGGGAAAGGTGTGCCCCTTAACAGCAGCTAATTAACTTGCACAGGAAGAACGCAGACGCAACTCTTCTCTTGGAAAGGGGTGCACACCAAGGCAATGTCCAGCAGTGTAGCGCCGCTAAGGAGTTGCAGGAAAAACAACAAGCTTTGTGGCTCCTTAAAGACTACTGGATAAATCACAGCATATGTTTTGTGGACTGGGTGTATATACAGACATGCAGATAAAGAGGAAAAGTCATAAGCTGTGAGGTCAGAGGGACATGTTGCCACATCTGATTATGTGGACTCTACCCCATGACAGCCTGTGCCATTATGCATTTGCTAGCTGTTACGAGGCCAAAAACACGCCTTGCTGTTTTGCTGCTACAAGCGAGAGTCCACTACATCGGATACGTGAAGGGTTAGCACTTCCCCCTGGCCCCACAGCTTGCATTTCCCTCTCTACACCCTCGTGTGATGTGCACCAACTCCACAAATGTTTATGCCATAATAAACGCTCTAGTCTTTAAGCTGTCACAAGACTCTGTTATTTTTAGTGTACAGGCACAATCCCTACTGCAAGGACAAAGGAAACACAGAAGAAACTCGCACACAGGAGCAGATCTGAAAAAAGGATCGTCAGCACATGCAAGCAGCTATTTTCAATCAAATGACGGGCAATGACTGTTAAAAGCTGATTTGCTGTGTCTCCTTGTAAGGAACAGGGCATCTGCTCTATCTATCTATCTATCTATCTATCTATCTATCTATCTATCTATCTATCTATCTGGACTATTTTTATGTCACTCCTCAGCCAAGAGGCAATTTGACAAGACGGTCCCTGCCCAAGGGCGCAAAATCTAAAGAGCGCAGGCATGGTGGGCATGTCATGAGTGGAGCCGGAGGTCAGATCAGACGGCCCAGGAGACCCCTTCTCACTCACTCTGTTTCTATGAGATGTGACACACACTGAAAGAAGAATGGGGAAGGCAGCCATGGGGGACTATTCTTGGGCAGACCTTTGGGGTCCCGCTGTGGCTCTCTCGTGCTTCTCGGCACTGCCTGCTGCAATGGCTGCTGCCTGGGACACCTGAGGAAGGAGGATTCTCTCAGCGCCTGTGCAAGACACCTGAGCGGTCTGCGGTTCAGGCTACGATTTCAGCTATATTCCTCCTGCACAGCTTCAGACACCAGCCTGTAATAATTCCATTTTGGTGCTGGATAAAAGCCGCAAGAAACTCAGCCTTGGTCGCTGGTGCATTTGGTCAAAATCAGGCCGACCACGGAATTTCAAGTCAAACATTTTTAAGGATACGGATTTTTTAAAAAATGAAGGAAGAACGTGTTGCAGCAAAACCCAAATATATATGGCTATGTGCCTGAAAGGTACAATACACTTGCTTGTACAGAAACCAAGTAAAACAAAAGGATACATTTTATTTTTTTTCTATCAAAGACATGGATGTTTTAAAAAATGTAAATCACAAGGGAGAAAGCATTCCATCATGTAATTTGTTTTATTAGTGTGAGTAAGAATATCAATTCATACTATTTCATCCTTGATTTTCAACATGTTTAAGTGGAAAAGGTGATAATTCTCATCCAGAACAGAGAGAATATAGCAAAAACTGAACAATTTGTGGGGGGAGGGAGTTATTTATGGAATAAGGTAGGCATAAACTGACGGCATGAAATCTAAGGGAGTTTCAGGGGGAAGAAATCAGAAAAGGCTGTTATCTGATGGAAACAAATTTAAATTCAGTCTGAGACGGTAAAGCAGCAATAAGGCAGATGCATCTACAGGAAGAAAATATAGCATCATAAAGTTCTGAAAAACAAACTTCACTTTAAAGCTTTGTTTAGGGCCATATAAAATGATGCATCTATGTAACATCGTAACCGGGATGACGACACCTTGTGCTATCGCACATCTCCCCCTCCAGCTTGAATGCAGAAATTTGTGGCACCGAATTATGTCGCAGCTGCTGGGTAGCCGAAGCTTTAGGCTCTCAGAAAGTGAAGGCGGGAAATGGCAAACGACAAATCCAGCAGCTCGCTCCCACCGCAGCCAGTGGGAACACTCCTGTTTAAGCACTGAGCACTGCCTTAAGTGGATTATCAATTACAGCTTCTGTATGGAATAGAGCTGAATGGAACAACCCATTTGTAATTGCTATGGCAACTAATTTAGATCAAAAGATGAACAGAGAGCAAGAGAGAAGATGTACTGCCTCAGGTTTCTGCTACCTTGAAGCGAGTAGAATAGCCAGGTCCAGATTCCAGGTATGCTATCCATAATTTATTGCCTTCTATGGTCTTACTGGTGCGGCACCATATCAATCTGAAGTGTCACTGGGTAAGCAGTATAAGCAGGGCACTAGACAAGAGCATAAATTATAGAGGATTTGCCATAGGGAACATCCAATAACTGAAAGAACACCTGCCAGGTAAATTTGGGCTTTACAATCAACAAAAATATTTGTCTCCCTGTTGGTATGAAACCTTTCGATTGGCAGATTTGCCTTTACAGCTGGCTCAACCCAAAACACATAGTGGCTGTGAAAAGCAACAACGGAAAAAAGGGAAATAATCCGGCACAGGGTGGAATTCCATCAAATTAAACCGCCACTGACACTTCCCCATCCTTTGTTGTCTTAAGCTACAACTCTGCACAACATTCAGTTGACTGAAAGCAACACAACTTCCTTGTGGGAAGACTTGTTAGAACCAGGCTGGTAACTCTGAGCGTGGAGGAGATGCTTAAACAGGTGGGTCTTACAAGGTTGTAAAAAGGAGGCTCCCCATTGGTGTGCCCCAGATGTGGCAGACTACATCTCCCATCCTGCCTGGCCCACGGAATGATATGAATTGTCATCTCACATCTGGAGGGCATCAGGGAAGGCTATTTTACGCATCCAATTTAAATGCTGCTTAAATTAAAATCCACCGACCAATTAATCAGTGGAACACTTCTGTAGCACAGACAATCAAATCAACCTTTACTTAATTTTTCAGATACGCTGTAAATTTGTTTTATTATCAGGGACTGATATCAGAACGGACTTTTGCGGTCTTCAAAACCAGTAATCGCATCCCACATGAGGTGTCCTTCAATCATTATGCGCTATTTTGGCAACCATTTTGGATTCGGCCCTGTCGAGACAAGTGCCCACATTTCCATGAGGGTCACCCTTGCCCATTTCTTTCGGGCAACTTCTTTTGGGCTACTTTTTTCATGCAGAAACTATGGGCAGACCTTTCCCTCTGTGCACTGGTCCTGCATCTGTAATAATCTTACCTTCAATCGAAATATGTAACATTCCATTGATTGAGTAGCTAATTGTAATGGCACACTTGGAAGGAAATGAGCAGTTTACCCTGTTTCATTTGTGTACCCCTACACTTTTAGACGGGAAAAACCAACCTGAATCAGCAAATGCTACTGTAAATAAAATAAGCAACTGGATTACCGACCCCACTCGTATCTTCAGCATGCCATTAAATAGTTCAGGCGTGTTAGAGATGATCCAGCCAATATGAATGACAAGTTCTTGCTGAAGAACAGCTTCCCTCTCATCCTGTAAATTACACTTGTTGTAGATGATGTCCTTAATTGCGCCTGGAGACAAGGGATTAGATATAATTTCTTCTTCCTGGCCAAATGCCCCGAGAGTCACCTAAAGGAATATATTAGCAGCAATTAGAGTTACAACCTGAAACAGGAAAGCACTGAAGGATCCCTTATTCATTATACCTCCTAGACTCAGCGCTCCCTGTTTCCATCAGTGACAGACAGAAGAGAGGATAATTAGCTTGGTGAGTTAGACTCGCAGCTGATGGGTAAAAGGAGGTTTGCATGCCTGTTATTTTGTACTAGACCCCCACCCTGTAGCAAAAAGAATCCTCCTTCTGGATGGGTAGAATTATCAAACCTTGGAAATACACATGGTTAAAAAGAGGCTTAATCTGCCCCACTGAGTCCTTGTGATTAAAATTGGTCAGATACATTAAAAGAATAGCATATTTTACTGTATTTCCAGGAAACTGGGAAAAGGACACCCATCTTCCTCTTTGGCCAGCAATTTGACCTGCGCAGCTCAGGGGCGACAGTCTTGGGGTGCTCCATCGAGATGCCCCCACCCCCAGGGCCTTACTGAGCTGTAACCTTCCTGGGATCAGTTCTCAAGATGGAAACAAACAGTGAGAGGAGCTGGAAAAGGAGGTTTGAACGACCCCAAGCCAGGTAAGGCAGGGACCAAAGGGGGGGGGGGGGGGGAGTTCAGACACTGGATGCATGGCCCAGAACCTCCACAACATGATCTCTTCACCATTTAAACACAATGCTGCAGCCCACGTGTTAGCAAGCTTCCGTAATTTTGCTCTTCACATCACATACATCTGTGGTATTAGTGTGGTCATAATGTTGCCTGTCTCTTTAACGATGGATGATGAGGCAGAAGGATCACACTCTCCCTGACCCCTCTGCTGGCATGCACATGAAGCAAGCCCTCAGCTGTTATGTCTACACCAGTGTTAACCATGAGAAAGTTAATGCTGAACATGCTTTACTTCTACTAAGAAATTGAAACTGGGAAGGGTAAATACAATCTTGTGATCTCTTCCCTTAATCAAAGTTAAGAAACAGGCAGCATTGGCTCTTTGACCCAAGCAGAAATTAAAAGGAAAATAACGGACGACAACAAAACAGCCAGTTCAGGTACAGCCAAAGCAGACAACAAGGAACAGTGCTGAATCAGGTCTTGGAAGGAAACCACCCCAGCATAACATCACTAACATCGCACCTCCTCCTGTAAGGACAGGCTGCTAGGATTTCACGCACCATTTCATGACTAGGCCTGTTCAAATGTTAGTCCTAGCAAATGTGGTTCTCAACCTAGTGATCACCTTTTCCTTTGGTCCAGTAAAACTTGGGCTACCTGTCAAATATTTAAGAGCGTCGTCTACCAAAACATTTACATTTGCTGTATCTTCATGGGCCAGCTATACTTTTGAGGTGATAAACTCTAGAGAGGCTAAGCTCTTTAAGCTGATAGGGAAGCCCTGCAGAAAAACCTTTTTCTTGCATTAAATGACTTTTCTGAACAAAGATAGTATGTTCAGCATACCTGGCCTGGCAAGTTGTGTTCACTCTGGCTAAGGCTAAAGGAACATCTTAATTTCATGTGGCCCTGGAAGTTGATTAGACCACCTTATGAGGAACTAGACAACATTTTCTTAGGATACAGCCTGGGAAGTGATGGAACAAGGGCTGAATGCTCCCGTTTCCTGGACACCAGTGCCCATTATATGGAGATAAGCATATCAGAATCCTCCCCGAATTATTTTAGAACCAGTGTTTCAAAGTAGAACTAATGGAAAAGTTTAAGTATATTATTTGATTATGCAATGCCAGTTCTCTTTGGTATTTTCCTTTTGTCACATTATCTTCACATGATCAAGTGCTCTTGGTGGTATAATACTGCAGATTCTACATCCTGTTGAACTATCCAACCATTTGGAAAACTTATTGCAGAAAAAGGGAAGGTTGGAAAGATGCCTGTGTCCTGAGAGACCGAGAAGGTGATGACCTTACTGCTGATATATCCACCTCAAAGGCCACTCGCCAATTAGCTCCTAGCTGGGAGCAGACATTTAAATGGGAAAGACGCAAGTAGGCAGGCAGCAGCAAAATAAAATATTGTGGCAGGACCCACAAGACCCTGGTGGCAGAATCCCCTCAGGTAAGCAGTGCTGGGTCGGCACGAGAAGCGAGGCATGTGGCACGAGCACAGTGGCTTTGGCATGCGCCGGAATACTTTCAGGCTTCTTTACGATCACGGAGCCACAGGCCTTTGGTGACTACAATTAACAAGGAGCCAGCACAGATACTAGCACTGGCCCCATAAAAGGATTTTACAGAGTAGCAACCCTCTGGAAAGGATCCAGCTAATTTTAACCCCTTTCTTTTCTTTTCTTTTCCTTTCCCAATCCTAGTATGCAAGTGACTGTGGAAACCTGCCCATCAGTTTGCCTGATTAACAGTTCTGAAAAATACCAACTTACCTGTTTGCCCTGAACTAAAACATTAGTAATAGATGGTGCAAGGCTGTCCACTAGTTTACATAAAAGACTTGCTGCGAAGCGCACAACAGACCTGGGGGTAGAAAACAGAGCAATCCAGCTGGAAATCAAACACTAGTTTAATGAATTCAGGAATCTGAGTGATACTTTGTTGCCATATTTGATATATCTGCAGATGCTAAACATTTAAATATGCTGTTATGGACTCAAGAGGTCTCTTCATGAAGGATCTTTTTTGGGAGAAGCTAAATCTTGAATTATTTAACCACTGAAGCAAGCACACACTAATGGCTGTGTTGGGAACACAGTTTGAACTCATTAAACTGGATATAACATTATAAGACATTGCTGTTCCTTGTTCCGACATTATAGCAAGATGGCCTGATAAAATTATGTAAGCAGCAAAACATTTATTGCTTCAGACGTCTTTGACAATTTGCATTCAATAACATTTCTCTCATAGGTGAGTGTTTTGGATGTTCTGAACAGTCAGGCATTTTCATTCAAATTGTATTCTTCCGTTTTTGCAAAGGAAATCAAACCATTTCTCATTTCTCAAGAAGCTTCTTGAGAAAGCAGATAAATAATTTGTATTCTAAGGGAAAGGACAGGATATGCAAAACACATTCAACACTATACGATAAACTTCTGTCTTGAAAGAGAACATATCCTACTGGTATCATAGCTAGTCAACAATTTGAAACTGCCAATTTTGATGGTCAATTCAGATGATCCATCTTTATGGTGTCAAATTTGTCATATGCAAGCTTATTTTATCTCCATTCCTTAGAAGGAACAATATACCCAGTGATATATCTGCTGCCGGGATGTATTTCTTCATATCCCAGAAAGCAAATGCTTGAACGCCACCTGGAGAAGACCTGAGCTATCTAGAACCGTCCCCATTACAGGCTGCTTCTGTATTTGAAAAGAGGTCTTCCTCATTTCTTTTTCTTTTAGTGTGGGGGAGAAGGGGGAAATTCCTATTCTTGGGCTCTCCCAGAAGCATTCCAGGACCTTCAGGATAGCATCTTCTTCAGAGCAGTCGACAGGGCCCACTTCCCCTGGCAGAGCTTCCCCAGGCAGAAAGGTACCTGACAGTCCCAATCCCACAGGGGCTTTGGCGAGCTCTCCAAGACTCCATCTGCTTTATTGCTGGCTTCTTTAAAACATTTCCCCAGCGTCTCCTATGGCATGACATTTTGCAGCAGCTGTTATCCTTTGCCTAACCTGCCCAAGTCAGGTCCTGATGCCCCTCACCAGATGGGGCAGGGGAACCAGAAACAGCTCCTCACACTCAAATTTTCCAGAGCTGGATTGGGCCAGCTGCTGGTTCCTGGGTCTGCAGCACCTCTGAGCAGCAATATTTTGCCCTCCCTGCTCTGCTCTGCCTTAGCTGCTTTCAATTGCCTTCCTTTAGGCAAGATAGGTAGGAGAAAGCAAGTGTAGCGAAATCTTCATCTAGGTCAAATTGGCACCTGTAGCGTGGAGCAGGGGACAGGAAGGGCAGAAGCGGCAGCTACAGCAAGGAAAGAGCTTCACGTTACAGACACAGGAGAATTCAAATATTCTGCCCTGCTTCTGAAATGATACAGTCCAGCCACAGCCAGACCATATGGGGTTGCTGATCACTTTCATTCTGCAGACGTCTCATCCAGTGAAGAGAGAACCATGTAAAGTGCTTGGATTAAAAACGGGCTGCAGCTTTTAAGAGTGACTGGGTATTAACACAGCAGCTCTTTGAAAAGAAAACTAGACAGAACTTTTGTTTTCTTGTTTCTTGAAATAACAGATACGTAGTAGAACTGGAAGTTTCACATTGTTTACCACAGGCTGAAACAATAATTTCTCAGAAGAGTTAATGAATGAGTGTGTGATATTCTGCTAAGTTAGCACAAGTCCATCAGCCAATCTGATGTCGACTTTGATGACAATGGGTGTACACACTCTTTAAAAACCAAAACAAAGCGTTTAAAAAACAACAACAAAGCAAATACGATCAAAATGCAAAGAAGCCGGCACATCTCAGGCAGCACTGTTTCAAACCTCTGCGCACTTTACCTGCTTCCCATGGACTACCAATGTTGTTATGTGAGGGGCTAAAGAGGCAGCAAATTTCTGCATGTACACCGCACTGCAGCGTAGCACCAACCTAGATGTGGCATATAACAATTATGAAAGAGGAATTCAAAGGAGAACTGTTTCTACATTTATGCTGTTGAAAATATGGCTGGTACTCTATGTCCTTTCGAGAGATATTTTAGGCATCTCCAGAGAGGGTGGGAACTGGCGTCGGTGAAGATGAAGCTCAAAGATCTGTTGCTCGTGCAGAACTAGTCATGCATCTCATGAGAATGTAAGAAAAACAATGCTAGATCAGGCCAAAGGACTAGCTAGCTCAGCATCCTGTTCACTCAACGTACAGCCTGTCATAAGCCCACAAGCTGGAGATGAGCGCAAGAGTGCCCTTCTGCCCAGGTTGCCCAGCAAGTCCTGCGCTTCGGCACACTGATAATAAAGGTAGCCATCAGAACTAGCAGCCACTGATGGTCTTCTCCTCCATAAATATGGAGGCACGCAGAAAAAGAAGTCCCTGCCCACTTTCCCTACACCACAATTAATTTCATACATCTCGATCATGTCTCCTCTCATTCACCTTAGTTCTAAGCTAAATGAGCCCAGATGCATTCCACATGGGGGAATTGTTCTGGCCCTCTGATCATTTCAGTTGTCCTTTTCTACATTTTACGAATTCTCTAATACCCTTTTGAAAAAGTAAAATGGCATCTGGTGGAACTCTCTGCCAATGGTGGCCAATGGCTTAGGTCATCTTTTAAAATGACATGCATATACTAGCCCTGCCCAGCCTAGATCACTCGTGTTGGCCTACACTTCCCATCAGCCCCATCCAGTATGGCCAATAGTCAGTTAAGATAGGCATAGTAAACCAAAGCATCTGGAGAAATCCATGCTGGGAAAAGCTGGAATAGAGAAACATATGGAGGACTGTCCACAAAACGCAAATGGGACCACATGTATAAGACAGGTGGGTATCCGTCCGTCCGTCCGTCCGTCCGTCTATCTATCTATCTATCATATACTAGATACAAAAGAGTGAACAGCTGCCACCATCATGTCCTCCTTGGCAGAATCCAGAGGCATCTGGTTAGCCACTACATTAAATAGAATGGTGAGCTAGTTAGATCCAGCAATGCGCTATGTGGCCAGTGACTGAATCTGAAAGACATCCAGTTCATTTTATCCTTTGACTAAAACAAGTTTCTCCCAAGAGACAGTGGGAGTCCTTTCTTGAAAAGCTAGGGGAGAGGAGGAGGGATTCAAGAAGCCCCCAATCAAAGCCTGAGCACCAAAGTGGGGAACTACATGCTGCTCCGCCTTCCTTGTTCACCTTGAACCTTACTTACAAATTCTCAAGAAACTGGGGCTGAGGCAACGACATGGCAAGTAGGACATCAAAGAGATCATAAATGCATGAGGAGTGTAGATGGCTTTCGTGGATCTTAAAAGTAATCTATCTTTTTAGAAGCGTAGCAAGTGTAATTTAACAGGTGACTCATTTCTGAGTGAAAAGAACACATTCCATCAAATTTGTAACATCTACCCTGAAATAACCACAAGGGGCTTCAAGGGCACCTCTATCTGCATCCATTGCCCATGACAGAGAATGCATCCTTCATCATCTCATTTATGCCCTCTTTCTCTTAATTAACACTTAAACTCCACAATGCAATTCTTGTGCTCTCAGGACTCAGTCGTCACATTTATTTGCCAGTATCTACACCCAGTTCTGAAACACACGAACATCCAAGCACGAGGGATTAAGAGGAAGTGTTTCCAGATAAGAATAATCTGGAATTAGGATTTAAACCACCACCTTCCTTTTCCTACAAATTAAGCCCTGGCTGATATGGCCCATGCTTGACAAACAGCAGCATGGTATTGAGATTCATGTGCTAAAATCCCCAAAACCGAATCTCACTGAAAATGTGTAGCAGGGCCTGCAAAATGTCTGACTCAATAATATTAAATGATGCCAAAAGACACGATATACAAACCAGAGTTTTCTGCTGCCAGCTTTTCGATAGATTCTTTCGATATGATCAAATACAGTACCTAGTCCACAAATAAAATGAGAAAGACAAAAAATGAGAGGGAGAGGGCTATGTTGCAGCTGTATCATGAGTTTGATCAATGTCATTGGTTTATTTTACCCCAGTGTAAAAAGGTGGCACTACCCAATCCAGGGGAGGCTGGGAATGCTGAATGGGTCACACTTCCCCATATGTGTGTAGACATCTAAACACTCACGTGCAGGCACATTTCAACTGGCACACTTCATGGCTTTCCAGCGGCAAACAACAGTTGTGGTATCTGGTTTCTCTCATCAATGGCAACATACCATGTTGCTTTTGCAATGGATGAGCTAACACATGTTACACCGTTTAACTCCAATTGAGTAACTAGCATTTCAGTATTAAATGATCTTACCGAGACTTCGTGCGATGCTGGCTTGTGGTTGTTTTGTGATTTTCTGCTAAGGGAGCAGTAGGTAAGCCTCTTCCTAATCCCTTATTTGTACAGCTTTTTAGAGCTGGGCCACAAGGGTCATTTTGCTGGAACTTGTTAGATAAGCTAAAAAATGGAACAAGCAGCTGAAAGGAATTACCCAACTGCTATATGCCCAAGTGCAGATTTTTCACTATAGCCCTACTGCTTTGTGTGCATATGTGTATATATATGGAGGAGGAGGAAGGGGGGAGACAGAGGGACAGTTGGCAAACCAATTTCCATATTTTCTTCGCAACGTAACAATGGACATCATGATCTACGTTAAGGAAAATACCTCTGGCCATTGGAAAAGACTTTTTTCCCTGTAGTCCCACACAAATATTTTAAAGGGGTGTGGTATTTGTAGCACAATCCTGCTCAGAAAAAACTCCCATTAGGTTCAACAGGACTTAATCCCAGATAGTTGCATAGGATGGCAAAAACAGATTATTACTGGTGTATTCTGAAAATGATGGCTACAATTTAAAAGAACCTTATAATGGACAAAAACTAAGCAATAGAAAAAAATGAAACTGGCTTAGATTTATATGTTTGTGTAAGTATGCCCTATTAAATGCCTAGCTTGAAATGTATACACACTGGAATTAAGATCAATGAATTAAATTGCTTTATTTCAGGAAATCTTAATGAGATGCTGCTCTCTTATCTTTTCAAAATATTGTTAAGCCTCCAACAGCATCTGTAATATATTTATATTGAAAAGCAACAGATCCTGCACACCAAGAAACTCAACATATCACAACTTGCCTTCGAGCTTCACCTTAGCAGATGAAACTTATTTCCACCCGCCCCGAAACTTCATGCTCAGAATAATAAAGAGGCAACATATGGTGTGCAAACTATTTAAAAGAGTTAATACATTTAACGGTTCATTCCACTCTACCGTGTGCAAATGCCTTTCCCCCATTTAAAATAGAATGGAAAATGGTGCTTTAATGGAGAGGAAAATAGCAACACAACTTGCAGAGTGGATGTTCATTATTCATTTTCAGCAGCGCTTGTGCACAACTGTCTCCCACAAACACATACCTTCCTTTGTAATGAAATGTGGGCCTTCTCTTTTGAGCAGAATGTTCAGCAGAATTGCTTGGCTTGCTAGGCAGCTGCAATCCTGAGTAGGGATAAGCAAGTATAAATCTTTTGCAGGGAAAAGCCAAATGTTATCAGTTTTAACAAATAAAGCATCGCTTCTTCTTGGTTGTATGCACATACAAAGAAGTCCTTTTCCATTCCCACCGCCTGGTTTTCTTCCCCCCACCCTCCTTAGACAGCGAGTAAACATGGTTTTCATCTCCCACCCCTCCATATTGTTTTGCTTTGGCTTTTTGGTTGGGAGTAAACACGTGTGTTCAGTCCACACAATATGAATAGCTTAGCTTTCTCCACTGGTTTCTAGGGGTAGTTCTTGCTTCCGGTCCATGGCACAATGAAAAATAGTTTCCCAGTGTGATAAAGGAAATGACCGATCCAGCCAATGAGTTTTCTCTCAGTCTTTTTATACCTATATGGCTCTTCCTCCTTCATTAGTCTGCAGCCATTCCATCCCCTCTCCTGCCTGGTTGCCAGTTCTTTTTTCTCCCTTTTAGTCTACATTCTAGGACCAGTACATTCTAGGCTGCATTGCAGAGCTTTGCAGCTCCTCAGTTTGATTTTGTTCAGGTTTTTTTCCCCTTGCACACTTCAAGTTTATCCCAGATCTGCTGATACCACCACCTAAGGCATGCTCAAGTGACGCTCTGGCTACAGCTGCACAGGTACGGGAAAAACTGAATTGAATGATCTTAGAGGGGATTATTACCATTACACAATGGATGCTCCCAATGAAAAACAGTATCCCCATGCTACCGTTTGTTAGAGCAGAGACTGGGGATATGTCTGTTTCACCCCCTGAATATTGTTGGACTCCTAGTCCCACCATCTTTGACAACTGGCTGTGCTGCTTAGGCTGATGGAGCTTGTAGTTTAACAACACAGGAAGGTTCACACCTTCACAATCCCTGTGACAGCACCTCCTAAAACGCTTATGGTAAAACAAGTTAAATAGCCAGGCTGGTGAATTTTATACAGATGATGTCAGATTCCACCCATATGAAAAATACCTTTCACATTTACTATCTGTTTTGATGAGGATGTTTCAGAATACTTCCTGAGTGTAATAACCAATTTAGATATGTATGTCTATCTGTTTAGACAATCATCTTTGAATAATGGCATGTCTCAAGAGAAAAACTGATGGGTCATGGGAACTTTAATTTCGTTTTTATATCTTTAAACTGCCCAGAGAGCTTTGGCTAATGGGCTGAATAGAAATGAAATTACTAATAATGATAATAATTACATTCAGTTTCTGGAGAATCTCATAGGTTGGCTTGTTTTTCCAATCATTAGCATTAATATCCGGTTGTTGTTCCAGTTCTGTCACATTTGGCGTGCTGGTCTGTCTCTTGACTTTTGAATGTTTTGGAAGATCAAGCTCCTCAAAACTCTTAAATTCTGGAGGCCTGCAAAGAAGAAATCACTGACATTTCTAAAATCCAGAACACAGTTTAATGATCAACTTTTGTAATTTGATTTCACACTAGGAAAAAGAAATATGGAAACGTGTTTGGAAAAGCACTCGGCCTTCCCAGCCACTGACTGGCGCGAGCCTGGATTAAGGAAGTTGCAGTTAAAAGCATCTTGAGGTCACCAAGATGGTGAAGGCTACTACAGCTTAATCCCTTGTTGTGGTATGATTTCAAGGATACATACTCTTCTGTGCCACTGATTCTTAAGAAATCCAGTTGTTCGACCATTGCTCCAGAAATTAATGTCTGAAATGAAGGAGAGGAAAGAAGGTGAGAGAGAAATACTAAAAGTTAATAGCGACATTATAGGTGTTGGGCAGGAAGATCCAGAAATGGGAACACATGGAACCTATTCCCTTCCAGTAAAACACTAGCCTGTGTACTGGGGAGGATAGAGTGCTGAACTAGGACTCAGAAGATCCAGGTTCTAGTAGCCACATGGCCATGAAGTTTGCTGAAAGGTTTTGGGCCAGCCACAGATTGCTGTGAGGATCAACTGGAGAGGGGTGGAACCATGTAAACTGTGCTGAGTTCCTTGCTAAAAGAAAAAAGAAAATTTTAAACTGAGAATGAAGGTTTCTTGCTGGTCAACAAGAACGAATGTCTTGCCACCTCTGCTTATTAGATCTGGAAAAGCATCCCTTTGGCCTCCCTCATGCTGACCTAATTTAGGTTCCTTCTGCACAACAAGTTGCATACCAGTTCTATGTGGCAATTTGCAAGGTGCACATGCTTTGGAGTAGAATGGAAAGAAGAACCTCTGATGGTCAAAGTGGGGACCTCTTGAACAAAATTCAGGGACTAACAGTTATGAACTGTACAGAAAGTCCAGATATGGGCTAGTGCAGTGGCGTACGGATTGCAGATAGCTGCAAAATGTTTGATGTTCTGCTCTTAACATGACTCCTTGAAATCGGAGACCTAGATGATCTTCTAGCCTTCTGCAGAGAGGAGGTGAAGAGAAAAGAAATCAAATGACGAGATCTCCAGACCTCAGATATCTTCACACAAAGATGCTGTTGCTTGCAGAAAGCTAGTTGGCAAAAGCCAGATCCTTCTACTGTGATATTTAGACGGAAGTCAAATCCTTCCTTTGTAGTATTCTAGCTGACCTTCAAGCTAGAAGGCGACACTATTTCAGAAGATAGACCTCCAGACACCTCTAGAAAGCCACTTTCTTTTTTCGTATGTGTGTGTTGTGCTTCTTCTTACAACATATTGTGCAAACAGCTCTGGCATTATCTGACTTTCCTGGTGCCGTACATGTGGTTTCTTTGTTTCTTTATTTCTTTATTTTATTTGTTTTCCAATTTATATCCTGCCTTTTTCCCACAAAGGGCTCAAGGCAGTTTACATCTCCTCCTCCATCTTATCCCCACAACAACAACCCTGTGAGGTAGGTTGGGCTGAGAGTCTGTGACTGGCATGGCCAAGCAGGGACTAGAACCCAGATTGTCTGAGTCCCAGTCCCATGCTCTTAACCACTACACCACACTGGCCACACTGGTTTATGTCTGAGTCTTCTCCCCAGTCCCCTCAAGCTAGATTCTCTGCCCAAATGCAGTTCTATCAAGAACAATGTTACACTTTCTTGTGTTAGTATTTTACTAGGTGTGCATATTATTTCCAATTAATTTATATAATACTTAAAAATAATCTCTAGGAGAAAAGATGCATTTACATTGAATAATTTACACTGAATAATTCTACTAGTGGGAAACCCATTAGAACGGGTTTCCTAGTAGTAAAGAAAAAGCAATATATAAGTACAGTAATACTTTGAACTTTTATAAAATATATTTGGATAGCAATGCTTCCATAATAGGACAGCAAGCTGCCTGCGAGTGCAGTTTGCTGTGGGTTCTTTTTTGCTGAGGTTGTTCTTCTCTGTTTAATTTGTATAATCCCCTTAAGCACAAATTATGATAAAAGAATTACAGGCTGCAAATGTGAAAATTATTGCGGCTAGGGCAGGAAACCTTATAAATTCTGCAGCTGAAATGTTTTCATGCAAATATTGCAAGCAAAGATTATACTGCTCTCCCATGAATTAACACCTAAAAATCTAAATATACACACACACGAGCACATGCGCACACACACACACACAAACTTCCATATGCACACAAATGCAAAAAGCTCGAAATTTATCATGATGAAGCAGTATATATTCCCTTAATAGATTATGCATTATTGGCATTTCACAATCTTAATATTTCAAAGTTTCCCTCTTTGCTTTAATGAAATGGACGATGTCCAAAACATGACAGAGGATTAATTTGGGCAATTAATGTTCAAACATTAGCAAAAGGAAATGCAGCATTATTAAAATGTAGGGTTCATGGGCCAGGGGATAATGCCAGTATGGCTCCAGTGACCAGTCTAAAATTCCACTCGGATGATTCTGCAGGCACATAGGAGCCAGCTCTTTTGGTACTGAGTCCTCTCCTTGAACCATGACCTCCGAGTTTCTCCTTTTGGGGACAAGGGGTTCGGGTTGCAGGTGGGGTCCGTGATGGGCTATGGCTCACGACGGGCAGCACAACTGAGAGGCCAAACTACATGGGTTCTGTAACTCATCCTCCCAGTGTTTCTATTTTTAGTTGGAAGTCGCTCCAAGATCTCTGGCTTGGTTGGAATCACCCAGCACGGGGATGGTGGCAGGGCAGTGTGAACTTAACGGATCTACAGAGCACTGCCACAAGCTGTTATTTGCTGCCCAGCGGAACAAGTTCTGCTAGACTTTCCTAGCAAGACAAACCCGGGCTGCCCATTTCCCAACAGACACACCGCACGAGCAGAGGGAAAATCAGGAGATCCAATCAGAGATGACGAAAGCATCCTGTGATTGTGTGCTAAATAGCCTTCTCTGTGTTGTGTTTGCTTTCAGATTTGACTCACTCAATGAACGGAAGAACAAGAAAACTCCATGAACACATTTCATCCCGACAGGACCCTGCTTTAATTAGAGTCACTGTGAATCAGCAAACACCACCAACAAAACCCTCTGGTTATGTCACATATCAAAATGTTCATCCCGCTTTTTTTCCACCGTGCAAAATATGAGATGAGCTCCTGAGGCTGTTTCAGGCATTTATTTACTTAATTTGCATTCCTTCTTTCTGCCAAAATAAGGGTGCTCATGGCAGGTCACAATGAAATCCAGATTAACACCATCTGAATTTAAACACAGCATAAATAATTTTAAACACAATTAAACATAGAACAATAAAAGAAAAGAACATTGCTGCCCTTCAGCAGCAGAATGGTTTATATGTCCAAGGCCTGTCTGAAAAACGATATATTTGCCTGCCAGTGGAAGGGCAACAGAGAGGGGACCAATCTTTCTTCCCTTGGCAGAGGGTTCAAGAGCTAGAGGAGACCTCATCTCAGGACCCCACAAACAACCCTCAAATGGTGGCAGAAGTGAGAGAAGGCCCTTTAAGTCAAGTTCTTAACACCTGGAAAGGCTCATAGGGCCCCAGGCCATATAGGGTCTTATAGGTCTTGAGAAGCACTTTGAACTGTGCTCAGAAGCAGACCAGTATCTAGTGAAGCTGTTGTTGGATACATCCTGTGCTGCATTTCTCTGACAGAAATGTTATGATTAAATGAGATGATCAAGCACAAATGGTAGATCATTGGGATAAGGAGCCACACTTGAAGGAGAAAAGGAAAATTTTATCCATTATCCACATGTATCCCAAATATTTTAACAACATTCCATAGGTTCTCTTTCACCTCAAGTCCTCCAAGTTATAATCTTTCCTATGGAATGGAACCCTGGCTCTGGCACTGCAAAGAAATGTATGGTGAAGAGAATGGACTGAAGGCCTCTTGTGTGCCCAAAGTTCTGTGAATGGTGGGAACCTTGCCAAGTTTAGGGTCACACTGCAATTATAAAAGCAAATTTGATGCACACGCATTGTACAATGACGCACAAGGATGGAAAACAAACCTTGACAACTTCTACAACAGTGCACAGTTATTTAACTTTAGTAATATCTAACTTTCAGTCATCCTTTCTCAAAGATGTAAAGAATATATTATGGCACAAAGGCTAGGGACATCTTCAGCATCTTACTCGAAGAGCTCAAAGCATAAAAGGGATTTCAGTCAAAAGTAGTCCAATGGCAAGCTGGCTTGAAAGGTTCCTGAGTGGAGGTGGGAGCTTTTCCCCCCACCTTTTTTGAAGTTAACATCCACCCTGAATAAGAATTACAACATAAATAGCAGCCATTGCCAAGGAGATGAAGTCTTTTTCTAAAGCACTTATTAATTATTAAGAAATTCTTCAGGGAGAGGCCAGTGCAGAGAGCAACTGTCCTCCAAGGACTCTGAAATAGCCCAGCTTTAAAAGATAATACAAGGGCACACTTTGTAACAGATGTCTGAAAAGATATGACAGCTTGTCCTTTTAATCAGATAAAACAATACTAAAAAAGGCAAGCAAATTCCCCTGTGTGCACCGAGATAGGAAACTGCATGCACAAGTGTGCACAAGCATAGACAATATTTGACTGCGCAATTTTGTCACAGCAGGAGCAAGATGACTGTAATTCAAGCCATCAGTCACAGGGCCACAGATGTATGGATAGATGCATAAGCACAGGTGGCCGGGATGAGCATCCCCTTTCATTCTCAGACCTGTATTCCCTCCAACAACACAACACCACGGCAGATGCAAAACGAGCACCGTACCTGCAGTCTGTCTACATGAACCTTCACGCCTCCGACAACACCTTTCTTAAAGGTGGCCAGCATGTCAAGGATGGGATTGAATCTGCTTCCTCTGAAGATGTGAAAACGAGAAAAGTTTCAGTACAACAAACTTAAACTGTTCTGCAAATTGCATGTGTAAATGCTGAAAATGGAATGCCTTACCTTATGTTATCCTCCCGGATAAGGACGAGGAACAAGGGGCGGCTGTGCATTTTCCAGTACTGCTTAATGAACTGCAAAGCATTCTGGGTAAACAGAAAAAGTGGGGGTGGAGGTGGAAGGCTGCAAAGATGACATGGTGACTGCAACAGACACACGGAATCAGCGAAACGAAGCACGGGTGGTTTCCGTGCTGCATTTTAAACCTCCCCAAAGTAGCTTGGGCTTGGCCCCATATGGGGGTTCCTGGGGATGATGCTGTGATGTGGAAACAAAACCTGCTGGGTAGGTTTCACTAAACGTGAACCACCAGCCACTCACAGAACCAAGAAAGAGAAGAGAAGTTACAGAGCAGAAACATTTGGTTGCGTTGCTTCCAAAATACCCTTAACGAGCGAGCAGATGCTGAATGCAGCTCAGGGAAATCTCTTAGCAAGAGCTGCCTTTCAACTGCTCTCCTCTCCACACTTCAGCCAGGGAAGGCCCCTTCCGTCATTGCCTTTTGGTCTTATCACCTGCCCATCACTTCGTCACTTCCCTTGCCCACGAATAAAGTTCTGAATAAAATTCTATGGAAATACGCGCTGCAAGCGGCATGCAAATTCAACATCTTTGCTCCCCATATACTGCCCAGCCTTTCCAGCTCTCTGCTTTATTGCCCTTTCAGAGCTTTAATTCATTTAATATTGGGTGACCACCTTGTGATACTTTTCTGCTGTTCATGTTGCTATTTAACAGCCCATTGAACCTCTTCAATCAATGTTGTCTAGCTTCGTCTTTAGCCGACATATGATTCTTCATTTAGGGCCAGTTGCAATGAAAGTGTCCTACACAGAAGCACTGTTCTCTAGGGGAATGCATGCAAAACTCACAGATTTTAAGGGGATGCAAAATGCAGGGAAAATTGCGGTGTTGAAAATGACATGTGCCGCTCAACTGAAGGCAGATTTAACCACAGTAAGACACACTGCGCTCAGTGAGGGTTATGCTCTTACTTTTACGTAAACACGCCCAGAATTGCAATCTCAGACCGGACACACACTGATAAAGGGTCTGACAGACTAAATCCTCAATTCTGGAAAATAAAACATTGAAAAAATACCTTAATGTCATCAATCAGCATCATAACATCCTGGGACATATAGAAATCACTCAGGTCAAAGATGATGGGATAGCAAACCACAGTTTTGCCCAGAATTCGATATATCTACAGAGTGATAATTAAACAGAAGTAATGTATTAAACATACTGGAAACTGGAAAACGAATCTTTGTTTTTTATGGGAGAGGAAAAAAATCTATATTCTATTTAAAAGCTAAATCCAGTTTATGAAAATTTGCTGGTTCTAATTATTAGCCACTCAAGCTATGAAAAATTACCAAAAGGTTTGGCGGTACCTTAAACAATCAAGTGTTTATTGCAGCATTAGCTTTCATAGGTAAGCACTCCGTTCAGCATACATATGAAAGACACCATGAAAGGCAATGTTTTTTAATCCAGCAACCAATGCAACTTGGTGCCTTCTGAGCATGGCTGGTTGAGGCCTGCTGGGAGTTTTAGCACAACACATCAGGAAGGGCCCTTTAATGCAAAGGATATGATAAACTTATATCAGTGAAAACAGCAATACCTGGAAGTAAGCTCTACTGAACTCATTGGAGGTTACTTGTGACTAGTGTTATACAGGAAGGGAATGCAAGTCAATTTCCACAGAATAATTTCGATATTCCAACATTGACACTAGCTACAGAAGTAGGGAAAGTTTCCCTGCGAGCACCTTTGATGTTCCGAGGCAGCCAATTGGTCGGTCCGGTCTTCCTGAGAGTCCCAGTTTGTCGTTGACCCCCAGATGGAAGTAAGCCTGAAAGACAGTGCAGGACACCAAGCTGAGTGCACGGACAAGTCAGTCCCGAGAGCACACCTGGAAGAAGGCTGTTCTTTGGGCTGGGCCGGTGAGGACAGCAAAAGCCTAAAGATTTTTTTAAAGCCTCTAAGCAATCAGAAATACCTTCAAGCCAAATAAGGATATATATGTTCTCTGAGACAAGAGATGACAGGAGAATGTGAACAGGAGAGGGAAATGATCTTGAACACATACTCCCAAACCAACCTCCCTCCCTCCCTCCCTCCCTCCCTCCCTCCCTCTCGCTCCAGTTCATACTTCCTGCACACAAGATAGCTGCAGTGAACACATTAACTCTTAGGGCTCTAGCCAAAGCAATCCATCTGCTGCTTTCTGAGCCAAGCAGACCGCTGGGAGCACGGTCAATGGCGCTACTCTACAGTGACCTTTTCAGAAATTAAAGGTCATCTCGCTGCAAAGACTAGGAAAGGAACATGCCTGCTCTTCCACACTGGGAGACTGTGGAGCAGCTTGGAAAGAAGTACAAGCACACAGAATGCTAGAAACTTTTGTGAGATGCAAAGCGGGCTAAAAGGAACCTGTTTGCACTTGTCATGGCTTCCCCACCCCCTTTCTTCAGCAATCGTGAACAGCTCTCTCCAGTTTGACAGCTAGTGACAGCCCAAGCAAAATACTGAAGGGACTGCCATTTTGTTGCCTCTCTTAAAAAAAAAAAAAATGCACCCTCGAGCTGCACTTTTTTTGTTGGACTTCCACGTTTGCGCCTCATCACGGGTCCAAGGTGTCGTGCTCTGAGTGGGCAATATGTCTGCCGTCCAAGTGAAAGGGGCATCCTTGTGGGCATTCATCCAGAGAGGCTGCCAAAACCTTACTTGTGACTTCGCTTTTTCTCGACAGCTGTCCAAAGGCGACCCGTCATGAGCAACCAAAGCCATGCGTAATCGTTGCTTGCCGCTCCCTGACTGCATACATGTTTGCAAGACTAGCGAGTTAACTAGGATGAAACTAAGCACTAATTGATTGACCATGGGGTTAAAAAAAAAAATCCAACAAATGCCTTACTTTCACAAGCTCATGCTGTGCCCATATCTGGATGGGTTCAACTTGCTGAGGAGTCTGGGTTTGGATTCCGTATGTGTTCAGGAAAACCTGCAGGCTGCATTTGAAACAAGGAAAAATGTTACAATGAACTTGAACAACAACAGAACTGGAAATGTTTTTAAACAATCGTGTAATCCATGTCCAGCTGTGGTAACAGTTGCCTAGTTTGAGACTTTCAGGAAGGGCATGCTACTGATTGGAATTCAGAGCACATGCAAAGGGAATCAAAATCTCCTACCTGGAGAACGATTGCCTGGCGACAGTGACACATGCACTGGGAACTTCCCGATTAGACTTCTGTAACGCGCTCTACGTGGGGCTACCCTTGAAGACGGTCCGGATACTTCAATTGGTGCAAAACAGAGCTGCCAGGTTGCTGACGGGGACTGGGCGTTGTTCTCATATAACCCCAGTTCTCCGTCAGCTTCACTGGTTCCCCATTAAAGTCCGGGCCCAATTCAAGGTGTTGGTTATCACCTATAAAGCCCTCAACGGCTTGGGACCTGGTTATCTAAAGGAATGCTTGTGCCCATATATGCCCTCCCACCCCTTGAGATCGGCAGTAGAGGCCCTTCTCCGGGAACCCTCCGTGAAAGATATTAGGAGGGTGAGTACCTGGAGGAGGGCCTTCTCTGCAGTGGCGCCCCACCTATGGAATGCACTCCCCAGAAAGCTCCGCCTGGCGCCATCGTTATTTGTTTTTCGGCGCCAGGCCAAGACCTTTTTATTTAAAAGTTATTTTAATTGTTAATTTATGAACTGTATTTATTGGGTTTTTATGTATGTGCCGAGATGTTTCTGGTTTTTTAAGTCTAATTATATAACTTTATTTATGTCTATTTATTAATGTTGTAAGCCACCCCGAGGCTTTTTGCGAATGGGGCAGCATAGAAATGGTTTAAATAAATAAATAAATAACATTAGTAGATTTATACCCCTACACTGCTAGAGCAATGCAGGGAACCCATGGGTGGTTCTTATCCAAATTCAGACCTAGATTAAGAATTCTTTAACTCATTTCAGAGGTTACTACTGGAGCAGTGATGAACTGCTGGAGCTAGAACCAGGTGCTTGAGTTGGATTGCAAAGCACAGCAAGCAGAAAGCACTGCTCTACTGACCAGGAAAAGGCAAAGACCAAGCTTCTAATATTTACTCCACAGTAGGTCTGGCCAATCCAAAGACTTTACAGCATGTGCTAATCACAAGAATTATGCAGCCCATCCTGCCTGAAGAAGGGCTCTAAGGCCTGAGCAACTAGTCATGAAATTTCCAAATCAAACCCTAAGAGAGAATTGTCAAGGATCTGAGAGGTTTACCGTTGGCTTTCGGCGATCAATGCAACATGGACCACCACGTCATTTTCTAGAGGACCCTAAAAGCATAAAGAGTAAAACCAGACATTTGTATTTGTGGAATTTGCTTGCTGATCGTTAGCAACAGTAAAACACAAAGCCCGTGTGAAAAATAACGATTCATTAATATGACTGGCACACTCAGGTCATATTGCTGCTTTCCTTCACTTTTTATTGCCTACTAATCAATTTGACAGTGTGGACAGACAAACGGAGCATGAGAGAAGTAACACACATAAATCTCAGTGCCACCAAAGGTGCTGCGATGCAAGTACATTCTTAAGGCCTGCGATGCTGAGATGTTGCAGGCAGCTTCCTTCACTTTTTTTTTACTGTTTTGCAATGAAGGCAGGAAGGGAGTCACTAACACCTGATTTATTTGAACTGGCTCGCAGCGTAAAAACAACCCGTTTTCAATTAATCGAGCAATGTAAGTCATTCTGTAGCCATTTGAAGACAGAACTCTGGATCTAAACATGTTCAGAAATATGACTATATGATATTCTTTCAGCATGAAGGGATTTTCTTTGGAAATCTGCAGCCTATTTTGGCATCAACAACACAATCATAGGCAGAATCTGTCTTCTGATGGAACCCCCTCATGAACGCCACATGCGGATGACCCTATCTCAGCACAAGAAAAACTTCTCCCACTTCTGCAGCCACCTTTAAAATATATACCCTTATTTAAAATACGCCTTTTCCGCTAGGGTTATTAGGTGCGAAACAAAACAGATCAAATATACCGGGGGGGAAATAAAAAGAATGACACACACTATGCTATTAAAGAGAAATAAAACAAGAATGCTTCTTAAGATTGCTGTTGTTACTTCAAAAAAGGCTGAAGACAGAGGAATTGCAGACCAAGCCGAGGTCTTTGGGGAAGGCCCGGTGAAGAGCCCTCAACGTTTCAGGAGGAAGTCCAGCCCCATCAGGGGAAAGACCACCTGTCAACCCCCTGGTTGGAGCTAGGGGCAAGCTGCAGCCCATGGGATGGAGAACACAAGGACCTCGGCCACCTCAACACAGGGGGTGACTGGCTTCCAGCCAGGCGGCTCTGTGTTTGACTTCCAGGAGAGCCAGGCAAAACCGCATGCTCTAGAACAGGAAAATCACAGACATATGTTTGGGTGATTTCCTACAGTTATTAAGGATTTTTTTTTTTTAGTATTTGCCTGGCCTGACATCAGGGCTGCTAGTTTTTGTTGTAGAAAAGCCACTCAAACCCTGAGGTTACAGAAGGGTTCGGTGTCTCTATATAGTGGACCAATCTTCTTGAAAAACATATAGAGATAAAGGACAACAAAATCTGGATTTTTAATAGGATATGCACACCCTGTTTTGCTATTTTCTCTTGTATTTTCATAGGTAATGAGGATGATGATGATATCAGCATTTAGAAAAACAGAATTGAGAAGAATCAGGGGGATGGACACCATCTGTCTTCATAATTATTTTAATGCTGCCTTAGATTGCTTTTGATACTTTCAATTTGTTTTGATTTTATGGTACATATCACCCCAAGCGCATTACCTAATTTGGAGGGAGGAAATACATCTAATAAACTAATTAACAGCTAAAACATCTGCAGTCAAGAGTGACATCTACTTTGGTCTAATAATCAGAGTTTACTTTCCCAAACAAGGATATATAGAGAAAAATAATTTAGGTAGTTTTAATAGACAGATGTTGTGAAGGCTAGAAATCTGGTAGAGGTGTTGCCCCAAAATAAATGGCTGCTGCTTTTATTTCTCATTTAAATCTTTTTGCTGTTGAGCAGGATTTCATGGATTACTGCACTTGATGAAGTACTTTATCAACAAGGTGCTGCAATCTTTTCTCCAAGTGACTTGATGCTTCAGTTATTTATATTTTAGAGTGCCTGCTTGTGTGAAAAGAGGAGCAAGGAATACTTCAAGCAACCCAGTTCACTGCAATATGCAACTGGAATCTTGCGTCTTTCTATTAAGGAAGAAGAAAATCTTTTCAGTTTCTTAGAAAGGGGAAAAAAGTTTTAAAAAGCACCTAGAAACTTTCAGAATATAATTCAAGATGATGCTGAGGAAGAGGAAGAGGAAGAGGAAGAAGATTAACCCACAAATCTGGTATCGATAAGCCAGTAGATGCAGAATCCAGGAAATTATGGCCACATCAATGAAGGAAGGGATCCTGACAAACACAACTGGAAGGCCAGTTGGTAAGAAAAGTAATATGGTAAGCAAAGGAAAGCAGAACCCAGCCTACTCGCAAGCTACACAGGCTGATTCAAATCCAGTGTCCTGCTTCTAGACACAACCTGGGGAAAACCAGTGGGAGGCTCCCGCCACTAAGCCTTACAACCGTGTGCGTGTGCATGCTCATGTGAGGGGTGAGTCGGGGTGCAGATATTCTCTGGGACTGTGTCCAGTAGAGGAAAGGATTACACATCCTCTCCCTTAGGCCGTGATGAACCAGGGAGGGACAGGACCCCTTGGTAAATAAATTAAACACCTGACAGTTTGTAATGAAGCGGTCAATGTTCCATACAGTTTGAGCTTTCGAAAATCACATGTGTCCCCCACCTTTTCAAGACCAGGGCCTCTGTCTACTGCTGAAGCATAGTCCACCACCGTAAGCACCTCTCTTGGAATTGCTGTGAGTGAAGGTGAGATCTCATGGACCAGTCACCTGTCACTGCACGAATACTTTCCTGGAACTACTGATCAACAACCAATGGAGATGTATAGCTATTTCCTAAAGCATTTTAATGGGATGTTAATCTCCTTTAAGTACTATTGTCTTTAAGTACGAGGTAAGTACCATCGTCTATAAGTATTCAGTGTCCAGAGCACTGAATATTGATCCAGTGCCCCTTAACAGATAAGAAAACAGACTGGCTTATTTGTGCCAATATTGGTTGTAGTTCTGCCTTGTGCAGGTTTCATTCTCAGTATTACTTGGTACCACAGAGTAAAAAAAAAAAAGGTACAAATAAGCCAAAATATGCTGAGATATTTGCAGTTTTACATGATGACATACACACAGCAGTACCAAGGAAAAATGATTTTAAGGCAACGTGAGAGAAATGTAAACCTACAATTTCGGTATGCACACAGAAAGAATATAGGGTTTCTGTAGTTCTGCACTGTGGTGTTTTATGCGTTCGTGAGTGTGCTAACATTGAACAGAATCTGTCACTTTGCTGCATCAACTTCTACAGGCTTCAGTGGTTTAGCTTTAGCTGTAGTAACTGCTAATGCATTTCATCAAGATAATACTGCATTTACAGGCAATCCTTCATAAATCACTCAACTAGACCATATTTTTCGTACTATGAGATGCACCCCCCCCCGCATAAAAATAATCTTAAAGGAAAATATATGGGATCCCAATTAAAGAATGCCAAAATACAGTGCTGTGCAGTGCTCAAGGATTGGTTGGGGTTTTGGTTGTTTCATTTTGTGGCAGACATAGAAGTTTTGCCATCCTGATAGAACTGTAATGCATTCTCACTGGGTTTTATTCCTAAATCCTGGTAGTTTCACTGGAACTGAATGTTTTCCAGTATATATATTAAGGCACCTGGAGACCAAGAGCATTCACATTACTGTATTCTTGGTTACTCTATATGGATGTAAAAGGTGGACAGTAAAGAAAGCTGACAGGAATAAAAGTGATGCATTTCAAAAAGAAGAACTTCTCTGGACTGACAGAAAGACATAGAAACATAGAAACAGAGCAAGTCAGAAGGGGCCTCCCAGGCCATCTAGTCTGACCCCTGGCTCCAGCTGGCTCCACTCATGACATGCCCACCATCTGCATGTCCAGACAAGATCAGCAGGCGGCCAACCTGAAGGCAACCAAGGTGGCCAAGCCCAAGGAAAGCGAATACATTTCAAGCCATGGATCTGGAAAGCAGCCAGTGCAGCTTATAACACAACTCACTTTTAATCCTAAAAAACTGCAGAGACTAGCTCAAGCAATATGGTTCTATGCTTTATTTTTTAAAATATTATTTTAATAATGCGTGTTAGCTGCCTCAAATTTTGTGGAGATGAAGTATAAATGCTCAAATACATAAACCAGACTATTGACAAATCCTAAACATACAAAAAGTCCCTTGCTACTCTAAGAAATCTTTGGCAACATCAGGTATGGTGAAGAAAGCCTGTAACTCAAACACATGGGTTATAAAGCAAGGTTAAATGTAAATGAACTTTGAACAGCGAAATCATTGTGGAGAGAAGGAAAGGAACTTTTATGTCTTATATATTGGATTTGTGGTTCTCTCCATTTTATGACTGAAGGTAAAAAGCTCTAGTCAAGATATTTTATGGCACTGGCTGGAAGAAACAAATTAGCATGCGCCTTCTTTGCATTTATTGTGATATAATTCCATGATGCACACACATAAGGTGTGCTGCATAATGGAATCACTTGAAACCTTAATGGGTTTAAAGGCTGGGTCATTTCTTAAAGTATTTTTCACCGCTTTCCAGGGCCACACCTTCACAAAGCAGCATGCAGGAAAGATCACAGGCGGACCTAAAACGGAACAGCTGTAGGCGCAACCATATAACATTCTTTGCCGATCTGTTTTGACTGCATAAAGCAATTGCGAATTCAATGCTGTAACAGAAAGATTCCCACTGCTTACCTAAATGCCTGCATGGATGGGGTTCGACATACATGAACAGAAAGGGAGTTCTACAGCACTGGGGATCAGGGAGAAGACCCCACTTCTTGCACACACTGTAACAGAGCTTGCCAGTGAACGCTCGAGAGAGACCTCTGCCATGCATCCTGGCATGATTATATGGGTAGACAAGATCCTTCAATCAGTAAGGTCAAGACCAGCCACGGGGACTGGAAGCTTACTGGCAGGCAGAAAAAAATGGCTGTTCTACTACCCTTGACATGGGATCTTGCTGGTCCAGCTCTGAGGAGTGGGTGTTGCTGAGAGGGTGAAACAGAGATTCTGCTCCTATCTGTGGCAAGGGGCAGGTGTGCGTGTGTGTGTTTCTGTTCAACTTGTGCTGTGAGTCTCCATAAGGTTTCATGTTTTTTAACATCTGGGTGAGAGCAATATGCTGATAATACCCAGGTCTGTATCAGCTTGTACAAGTCTCAAGATGTTTATGGCAGTACCTGGGGAACGTTCTGTGACACAAGAGGAAGATAACCTTCTGCTTCCCTTTCCATGGAGATGTGACTGGAGCTTACATTTTTTTCAGTATCAATTCATGAGCCCAGATATTTGAATGGGCTGATCTGAGAGCCTTATATTTTTTATCTGCTACTCTGTTTTTTGGTTTTATCATGATGCTGTTTTATTCTCTACTGGAGGGTGGTTTTGATCACAGTCTCTCTTATATACTATCCTAGTACCAGCAACGAAGAAGAGAGGTTAGTATTTTTTTCATAAATAGTAATAAATAATTTAGTGTTTTTAGCGGCTGTAAGATGCTTTGATTTTTTTTTTGGAGGGGGATTAGGCAGGCTATTAACATATATTAGATAAAAATAGAATAAAGTATCTGTTTAGTTCCCAGTGGAAACCTGAGCTTTTCTAAGGCAGATGCGTCAGAAGGGCAATCCAGGGCAATTGCAAACGCTACCTAACTGTCCCCCAAAGGTAGACTAGAACTGTGTACTCTTATCCGTACTATTTCATTTCTATACCAACCAATAACCAACATTTTCTGGGTGGGTCGCAGCAATTAAATGCAGACCAGCATTTTCCGGAATAGAAATTCATGCTCCGATTCCAATTACTGGAGGAAGCATAACCTGTTTTTTGATAGCTTCACAGAATCACGGAATGAAATAGTAGAGTTGGAAGAGGCTCGAGGGCCACCAGGTCCACCCCCTTGCTCAGGGCAGCACTCCAAGTTAAGCCATCCCCTTCAGATGGCTGTCCCACTGCATCCTGAACGCCTCCAGTGCAGGAGAGCCCACAACCTGCCCAGGTCTTTGGTTCCACTGTTGTATTGCGGTAAGTCAGGAAGTTCTTCCTGACATTCAGCCTGGATTTGGCTTGCTGCAACTTGAGCCTGTTCTTCCGTGCCCTCCACTCCGAGATTATCAAGAAGAGATCCTGGTCTTCCTCTCTAAGGCAACCTTTCAAGGACTTGAAGAGTGCTACCAAATCTCCCCTTAGTCTTCTCTTCCTCACAGGGCTTTGTTTCTAGTCCAAATAGTTCCGCTTCCAAGATAACCACCAAAATAAAAGGTGCCAGTTATTAGAAAAGGCTTTCTCTAACAGCAATCTATGACACAGCAAAATGTGGGTATTATTAAATGGTTTTATTTCTAATGAGAATTACTTTAACAAACCCCCATTAATGAATAGGATTGTTCTTTTTTAAGTGTTACATTTGGGCTGATTGATTTTGCTTCTACTAGCCTATCTAATGTTATATACATTGAGATGACTAAATGGATTTTTTAATTTGCTTTTGAACAAAATGAGATGGTTTAATTTGATATAGTTTGTGGAGGAAAAGGAACAAAGCTCTTTAAGAATTGAAGTGGCTTTTGGTTTCTAAAGATATAATTATGTGAAATGTGTTATGCTCCTGTTTCAGATTCAGATTCTATTTTTTGGCGTGTTTCTCAGCACTTCAAAGCAAAGTGGGGCAGGAGATTCCAGCTGTACACTGATTATGCATAAATTAGTTAACAGCACAATCTTATGCATGTCCACTCAGATGTAAGTCCACTGAATTCAATGGCATTCACTTCCACATAACTGTACACAGAACTGCAGCTTAAGGTGGATCAAATTGTACTAGCACACATTGAAATTAAGTACTGTAGTAAATCCCAGAACATTGAATCAAAGTAAGAGAATATGATTTAGAGATCGAAGCAAATGAAAGGTGGATGGTATTATTGTCGCAAAGAAAGGAAATGGAGCAGGTGTGACCACAGCCAGATGAAAAATAATCACGTGGGCATGCTTTGCAGACACTGAAGCGATCCCACAGCCTTGGGTTTCCCAATTCTAAGACTGAAAACAATTATTCTGTGCGATCATGTGATACATGCAGGCATCTGAAAGGAATGACAATGGGCCAGTGGGTGGCTTCGTTTCCACCCAGGGTTGGACTGGATGAGAGTTCTCCTTCAAACATACAGGAAACAGCACACAGCTGCCTCCCATCCCAACTCCCTGGCACGCCTGCCCCCCAGACACCATGTCCACACAGGGGAGGCAATGTGTAAATACAGTTGATGGGCTTAGGATAACGTCATGTGTTCTGCATGCAGCAACCTCAACACAAATTTCAAGCATGGCTCTTTCTCTGAGGATGGAAGGAGCTCACTGGTGAATCTGACCCTTCCAACTAACAGCCAAATGCAAGCCATGCTGATCTGGTTTTGTTACAAGGTTCTTGGCGACTTTGGTGGGTGGAGGGAAGAAAGATTAATAAGCTACAGGATGTGTGTTAAAGGTGATTGTCAGGGTCGAGACCTTTGCCTTGAGCCTACCTGCACAGGGGTTCTCTCACCCTCTCCAGTTCTTCTTTGACCACAGTCTGGCTGGCTCATTCTGGCAAGTCAAGTTTGACTTCCCAGGCAGATGATACACCTACTGTTCAAGCTCATGGGGAGGGTCTGCCGGTTTATAAATTGCCTCATCCTGGGTCTATTCTAGCAGCCAAAATAACCACAGTCCACACAATTCCCTCTAATTTTTTATGCGTTCATTTGGAACTCCTAGTCTTTTTCATCCTGTGCAGGTCCCAGTATAGACAAATGCAGCATTAATGGCCTAGCGAAATTTGAAGGATCAGCAACCTTCTCAATGGTGCCATTTTAAAATAATCATCTGACAAAGTCAGCTTATCAAATGTATTCATACCTGATTTGAGAATCTCATGCTAACATTCCGTTGATCTTGGGAAGGTATGAAACGCTTCACTGGATCGATATCTTTAGCACTCACTAAACCGTCAACTGAAAGCAAACCACCAACAATTCGTCACTTGTAGACTGCTAACAGAAAGCATCTGTCACTATTAGGCATTGCTTTATGCAAGAACAAAGAGCAGAATCGGAATTTGGTGGGTGGGAAATAATCGGAGAGATCATAAAATGTAGAAGCTGGGGTCTGGCTTATTCAGCACATCTGGAGGTATTTTTTGCCTGGATGCGTAGTGTTATCACACAAGATGCTCATGCAGGAATAGTATGCAGATGACTTCAGACTAGCTACAAGTAAGGGGCAGCCCATCTGGATAGAAACTTGTGCCTAAGTCACCTGAAAGGGCATTCTCCAGACTAAATTCCAGTTGAGACGTGATGATCTTGATGTGGTCCAGATGTTCTGTGCTACAGACGCCATAATCTCTGACCACTGGCCATACTGACTGGGGCTTATACGAAGATGTTGTCAAAAACATCTGGAGGGCACCAGGCTCCCTACCGCTGCAATAGTGCTATCTACTTCCATACCTCTGTCCTCTACTCTCCCTTGTACATCTGTATTTATTGCCAATGGCATCACTTGTAACTAGTTCAGATGTAAAGGGAAGCTGTGGAAGTGGAAAATATGGATAAACAAGTCATGCTATCAATGTCAAAGCCAAACACTGATAAGGGAGGTATGAAACAAGAGTGAGTGGGCAAGCCATTTGTGGCCTAATAAACTATGGTTATCAGTGGGCCAGTAAACTGTGGTTTATCAGCTCAAGAATATTATATCCAAACTGGGTTAAAGTGTTACATATCAGAATTGGCCTATATTAGCATATGTATGCACCAGTAATTACTTATACAGGTGAAATACTTCATTAAAGCCACACAAATTCAAGCTGTGTGTGTGTGGGGGGGGGATTTCAGAAAACATGGATCTTTAAAGTCTCTCTACTTACCAAGGAGTTTCGCAATGATATAAAGAGACTGCCCCCACAAAAAGAACTTTCCATCCCGTCCATGGTTGCTAGGAAATCGTTTCTGACTGCCAGGATTTTTCTTCTCTAGTTCAACAAAGTCAGCTGGCACATAATAATACTTAGGTACAATGGGATAGCCTGTGAAGTTTTAAAGTACATAGTTAAAGATATTTAAAATGACATTCCTTTAAAACAGGAAAAAACTTACCACCGCAGGCAACCCAAATGCTGTAAATATTATCATTCCTTGTTATCATTCCGTGCCACAGCCTGCCAAGAACAGAAACCGCTGCACTGAATGCAGGTTTATTTATGCCCTGTTTCTTCACTGAACAGATGCAGTGTCTATAAACTGGTTCTGACAAAATAGTAATTTTTGACAGATGGAAAAAACAGCACTTCTTTGAGACACTAATGTTGCTTTGGTGCTACAGAACAGAAAAGATGTTCAACTGCTGTTGGGAAAAGGGTATGAAAGCTTCAGGCTAGAATTAAAATGAACCTGAATCTTGAGCAGAAAAAAGGGGGTTCAGTATAAACACAATGTTTTAGCCACTTTCGATCAATTAGTTTATTACAGGAGTGGAAAATACATTAACTAGCTGTGAATTATCTATTATTACATTTAAGTTATTTTCCTCTACAATACAATGATACTTTCTAATTCTCATGTCCTATTTCAAGGTCTCCTGCAATGAGAACAAGGAATAAAATGGAGGATGGAACTAGTTATAATGGGAGGAACCATCCGCTTTGTACCTTCTGGATTGGAAGCAAACCCAGATGAGATGGTAGCCGGCTTATCTAACTTGCAATACAGGCAGGCAAGACTGAGAAAAATGAAGTCTTCACCTGCCTATAGTTTTTCCCATTCCAAATCCCCACCCCTCTATGCACACAGTGTTGTAAGCTGTTTTTCATTCATCTGTCCTCTGTCAATGAAAGCGGGTCGGGGGAGGAAATAGGATGACAAAAGAGGACAAGGAGGAGGTAAGTAAGGAGAAGTTCACCCTTTTCGGTCTCTCTAGACTACCCCTGCAAAATGCATACTTTATAAGGGAGCAGCCAGATTGCATTCTTATACCAGAACATCTACTAGCCCTAACCCTAAAATTGCTGTGTAAATTGAGAACCTATATATAATACAAGGCATTCCAAATCCAAGATATTTTATACCTTAAGACAGGAGTTAAATAAAAACTTTTTTTTACATTAAAAAGAAACCCCATTCTTGCTTTGCCCTCTTTAATGGCGCATTGGCATTCTTTGTCGCAATACTGATTATATAATGTGCCTTCATATATGCTTATTTACTGAGCTGAAACATTAATGCATAAAACCCACTGCAAGTGAGATGTTAAGACTATCATTGGATTGTAGGCACTCTTGTTCATTAAATGGTAATTCTTCCATAATATTATGGAATAACTGCATGGATTAAAATATCAAAGACAAGTCAGCATGAAATATTGTACACTAAAGCTGTTTTTACCAACTTTTAAAAATTTCTTTAAAAGGCAGGGGGTGGGGAAATAAGAAATTACACGAGAGCTATCTGGTAAATGAATTCTTTTTTATTGTCATTGCTGATACTGTGCTAACAAAAAAAGCATGGGGCAGAGAAATCAATAAGTTATACTTTGTTAAGAGGCCAGAATGAAGAATAAGAACTTAAAAGTATTTTCTAAAAAATGTACTGTACATCACAGAACTTTGTACTTAGGCTGCTTTGGAATGTGATGCATTCATTATCCTTCCGATCCAGGAGCAAGCGAGATAGATGACAAATATCATTTCTACTCACTCAAATCCTTTTAAAATCAATCAGGAGCAGTTTTAAAGCAGGAAAGTCATCCCCGAAAACTGTAATAAAGAGCTGTAATACATTTCAGTTGAAAGAAGTAGCTAAGATATCCAAGCAGGATACTTTTAAGTCCAGAAAAGAAAATTGTTTTTCAGTGAGCTGCAAAGAAACCTGGATAGGTATCTCAGAGGTTTCCTCTAAAATTTAGGAACTGAATGAGGGAACCAAAACAGTTTCTGTACTTGGAAAGTCTCACGCGTGAATAGGTGCTATAACAGAGGAGGGAGAAACCACCAGCAGAGAACCAGTGGGAGTAAAAAGCAATTTATCTCCTTAGCTACATCCAGGATCAATCTAAGCTGTGCTCACCTCTTCCCCAAATATACCAACGTGTAACCAAAACATTATTTCTGTGGCTAACAAGTTTTCTCTGCACCAAGATTTTTTTAAAGCCATGAAAGCCTTCCCATTTTTTAAAAAAACAGAGAGTCACTTAGCCTTCTCTAAGTGCAAGCTGTAAGGTCTCTCGTACAATTATGAACAGAAATCAGAGGAGGTGGGGGATGGATCCGCACACACCTAACATTTAACCTCTTTTGCTCAGCAGATGACGAACTCCATTTTAAGATGTGCCAAAATTCACTGGAGAAATTAAGTTTTATGTTCATGTCTGGCCTGCAGTTCTGCTCTTGTACATGAATGCCATTTTCCCAGGGATGTTATATGAACATGCTACATATCTGCAACATGTTTTAGGATTTCTCCTTGATTGACTCGCTAGAGTTCTGCTATGCCCAGTTACACAATGGTACAAACCTTCAGTTGACTGCTGTAGCAGTGGTTCCAGAAGCTGCTGATATTCTTTGACTTGTGCAGTATTACCTCTGAAAACGCCTAAAAGCAATCCAGTAACACTTAATTAGCTATGCATCATACATAGAGTGCTTAGGAAAAAAGCATCATTGCAAATATTTCAAACCACTATTAAATGGAAAGAAGGGCTCTTTCCTTTAAGCGCTTTTGTGGACAACTGTAGGCCGTTCAGAGGTAGACCAGTGCTCAACAGCTCTGGGCCCATGCTCGGTTTCGCCACCTCATCCCACCAGCAAAACACCTCTGCTCAGTTCCCTGGTCAGGGGGAGACAAAAGCCATCCCATCTGATGCACAGACTTTGGCTTTTCCATTCCCTCTTTCCAATTTTAGCCGCTTTAGACTAAGGTAGTGGGCAGCATATAAATGAAAGTATAAATAAATAAACTTTCATTATTCCCCTACCCAGTAACTCTATAAACATTTGAGATGGTTTATTTAAAACCGAGACCACAAAGCAATGCTAGATGAGATTTCGGCTACTTGTGCTGTGGCTACAACCCTGGATACGTGGGATGAGGCAAAGGTCCATGTAGCTATCCTGCATTCAGCTTTCAACATGGACAGACAGATGCCTCTGGACATCAAGAAGCAGCAGGGCACAAGGCAATATCCTTCCCTGTTGTTCGTCAGCAGCATTTGGTACCCAGAGACATGCTTCCTTTTTCTATGGAGGATCCAATTAACTCCCATGGCTGACAGCCACTGATCGATTTAATTCTCCATAAATAGATTTCATCCCCACTTAAGGTCATTTAAGATTGTGATCATCAACCAATCAGGAAATACTAGTACAGTATAGCAAAGAGTTTATCTTTCAATCAGACCAGAGAATGAAAGGGAAAACTTTCTGTTAGGACAGGATGACCCAAAGGAGGTCATGTGCTCTCCCATCGTGGAGGCTTTCCGGATGCAGCCGGACAGCCCTCTGTCAGGGATGCTCTGACTTGGGCATCCTGCAATGAGCAGCGAGTTGGACCTGATGGTCTTCCAACTATTCTATGATTTCTGAGATGGTGTTTAACACAGAGTCTAGAATTCTCACTGCTCAGCTTACGGCAGCTGGTGCATCAAAGATGGATAGCCTTAGAGCCTGACACACCCAGCAACCACCTCTTCCTAAGGAAGGCACCGGCCCAGGAAGACTGCTCACCTGCTGGTGAGCTTTCTGTGGCTGCTCCAGAGAGATTTTCTGGGGCGGGAGACCAACTGCCTCTTCACAGGTCCAGTCACCTGACCCTGCATTCTCCTGCCAAATGGCAAATGACTGCAACAGCTCCCTGGTGCTGGGGCAAAAAGGGGGCCTGAAGGCTGCCACCAAGGAAGTGGCCCCAAATGAGGGTCATTCCACTGTATGGCTGCCCAACTGATGTGTATTAATCAACCAACAAACATGTAAAGACTTGCCTCAGTGCAGGGACCCTGGGGATCTCTTGATGTGGCCCCTCACTCATTTCAAAGAATCTACATGTGGATTCTGAAGGACTACTTCCGATCAATAAGGTACCTCCTTATGTACCTCCATAAGGAAATGCTTGAAGTAAGCTGAGAGAGTGGCTCTCGTCCCTCCATCCACCATCACAACATGTGCAAGGGGGTATAAAAAAGTCCCTTTCAGTTGAGGTACCTGCACTGTGGGATCTCCTTCCCCGGGATGCTTGCTTAGGTTTTTCATTGCTTAGTTTTCAACTCTTAGGGAAAACGCAGCTCTTTCAGAAGCTGCTCAAAGGATTGGTAACTTGATCATTGATGTGGCCCTCAGATTTTTTCTTTCTTTTCTTAATTTTGGGGTTTAGCTTTTTAATCTACCTTCCAGTTTGGATTTCTTTTGAAAGAAAAGTAGCATATAAAGTCTTTAATCAATTAAGACATTTAGAGACACATATATTTGGGACTGATGAGGAGATTCTCATAAGAAGGAAAACTAGACTTCCTACTGGAGCAAGGCAACTAATACAGGAATATTTATTTAAAACAGGTATTTTTATTTCAGTCTTCAGTCACTTTTGAATAGATATACAGTAGACTCCCAACTATCCGGTCTAATGTGGCAGAAGGGCAGGCCGGATAACAAAAAAAGCTGGATAGGCTGGAGTTCTATAAATGCTCACTTCCTACCCCACCCATACCATTAAAAACACCCTTTTTATACCAAAACCCGCTCTTATTCATATTTTCTGGCCTCTTAGTACAGGCCAGTACTTTATAAATGTTTGTTATACACTGTACGTTTTAAAAATTTATTACAGAAAAAGGAAGTCCAAGGATAAAAATATTGTAAAATATAAAATTGTAAATATTGTAAAATTTTTAGAAAATTTTATAATGTCTAACTTAATTACAGGAAACATAAAATCATGTACACTGTACAGTATGAATACATACATTTTTAAAATAAACAAAACATTAACATAAAACGTAGGCTTAATTCTTACAAAAATTATTTAAACTTATTTTACTGTTCATTGATAGTTATTTTTTAACTAGGCCGGATAGTAGCGAGCCGGATAGTCAAGAGTCTACTGTATAAAGGATTGTGCTGTTATCTCAGGATCTGTGAGACAATGGAAATGTTTGCTCTGATAGGACAAAACAGAACTTTTGAGAAGATCTAAACCGACAGCAATGCTGGAGAAGACCCTGATGCTGGGAATGATTGACGGCAAAAGGAGAAGGAGACAGCAGAGGTTGAGGTGGCTGGATGGCGTCACTGGGGCAGTGGGTGTGGGCTTGGGTGGACTCCGAGGGATGGCCTGCAGGAATGTTGTCCATGGGGTTGTGATGGGTCAGGCACAACTTTGCAACTAAACAACAAACCAGCAACAAACCTAAGCGCACTCATTTGAGCTATAAAAAAGTGCTTCATCTACAACTGAAAACTGCAAACTCAGGTACAAAGCTCATAACAGAAAACTGGTTTATTCTACAAGCGCTGCAATCATTCCACTCCTTTTACTTGGGTGGCAGAATTGTCATGGCACTGTCAGCGTAAGTAGGCAACTCGTATCCTCTTCGATTGCTAAAACCGCTTCACTGCAGCATTCCAAGGCTCATCCCCAGAAGAGTAAGAATCCCAAGTCACACTTACCATCAATCATCATGAAAATGAAAAAGAGAGGAAATTCACACTCGATCCCATCAAAGAGCTAAAATATAAAAAAAAACAAAGGAAAAATAAAAGGCATGCAGTATTTCTATTTACAGAAGTACATTCCAGTATTTCATTACCTCTTTGAAGAAACCAAATATAAATGTGAAAACAAATTATTCAACAACTTATTGGAAGAAAGGAAGGAAGGAAGGGAGGAAGAATTCATCCTCTTACATAAAGATCTGCTGTGCTTTCCAAGTTGCCATACAGTTTTATTTGCAAAACGTATCACACACTTTTTCCTCTCTGAGAATTTTTCATTTAAATTAAAAAGAGATGAAAATAAAAGTGTTTGAAAGAAAAATGGGGGCTTCTTTCAGACAGCCTTTAATGGCAAGCATTAATACTCAGCAGCACATCAAGATTTGATTATTAATACACTCCAGCCCGTAGTCAGCTGTGAAATTAAATAAAATGATAAACAACGTGGCTGTTTGTTAGGGGAAACAAACTGTACATTGAGTTTGAAATGTAAGCACATTTCCCTCTAAACAAATCAATCAGGGAGAAAAATGCTGATGCAGCATGCTCAGCGCTGCACATCCAAACTACTACGATGAGTAATGTCACCTCCACTAAAATGGATTGCGAGCAAGTGCCAAAATTAATGATTCATCTGACTTGCTGGCTTCCAGCACGGCCACCCTTTCTAGGCAGTCAAGCAATAGAACTTTCTTGCACAACATCAGAAGAACCAGATGAAAACAACACTTAATATTCAGCCTCCCTGCAGAGTTGCCCAAGCAAAATCAGGAGAAAAATAACTAATTTGATTTGATACAGTAGTCAAGCCAAGGAGGGTAACTTCCCAAGCACCACTTTACCCTATCTTCTGCCTTATTTTCCCCCTACCCCCAGCTAGAATTTGCCTTGAATTACGGCTCCAGCACTGCCCTGGGCACAGCATGACAGGGCAATACATTACACACCATTAAGCGGCCAACAGGCCATAAGCTTCTGTATTTCCCCTGAGGCATTTTGATGGTCCTTTATACTAATTGAGGCCATTCGTGGCCGTGGGATGCATTCTGCCCACTTGTGCCACACGGTTTTGGATGAGCGGTAAAGATCCTCCAGATTCTCGGGAGGACTGCTCATCTTTGCCAGCCCCGGTACCTGAAGTCCTTTAACTGGAGTTTTTATGCAGTATTTCCAGATACTGGGAGGGTGAGGAATCAATGTGCAAGAGGGGAAGGGTTCAAAGGGTGAAGCACTTGGTTGCACAGCTCCATTGCAATGCTGTAACTATGGCAGTAATGGGCTGCCGGCATGATGTCTATTCAAGCCCAGAGTGTTGTCATCTATCTCAGCGAGTCCATATAATGTTACGAGTGAGTCTTTTTAGCGTCTTCCAAGAACTGGAAGGCACTGACAATTTTAGAATCTCAGAACTATGGTTTAGAGGGAAACTTAATCTACTGTAATGCTTTATACCATGCCAGGGTCTCATAAACACTACTGCTAATGAATTATCCAGTGAAATTTGAATTATTGTCAAGTTGTCTGGAAATACGCATGGCAAAGCTTGCTCTTAGGCTTCAATACCTTCCCTTCACTTACTTAAAAAGCAATTTTTGTGTTGGGAATTCTGGAAAACAGGAATGTAGAAGATACTAGCAAAACAATCTTATCAAGAGTTAGAATTTTTGATAAAAAAATAGAATGCTGGCTAAAAATTAGAAGTTTTGGCTAAACCAAACATAAATAGATGCTGCTATCATCTTGTATTAAACTAAGAGTAGATAATATTTTGAAGAGTTGATATAATCTGGGCTCATGCATGTATACCCACATCTGTACAATGCAGGTAATTAGAATCTGACATACATAGCCAGGATAATTAACTGTAAAATTTTTTAGAGTGGACAAAGCTGGCATTTCTTTGCCTAGTAATCTTAACGCATCTGTGTCAACAAAACCAGAATATGTCCTATACATCTAACACTCACATACACATAAAATAACTCCTTGCATCACATACACAGAAGCATTACCTTAATTTCTGCTGGTTTGTAATATTGCCGATTTTTGTCCTCCAGAGCTGTTCTATAGCCATCTCTCAAAAATCGTTTGAACCCATATTTGCCTTTTAGCTTTCTCACAATCTTATCAATCGTTTGGCTGTACAGGGTATCATCATCTACTGCGAATGCAGGGTAACTAATACAGGGCAAGAGGGCAGCATCTGTGTTCTGTGGAAAGAAAAACAATGTCTAAATAATGGATAGCAGAGAAATTAATAACTTAAACAGAAATTCAAATAATCGGACTGCTTCTCTAAGCATCTGTGCAGCAAGCACCTGTTGATATGTGCTCCATTCATGAGTAACAATAAACTAGCTTCTGAGTAAACTCTGGATGGCAATTCTTGTGATCACTGCCCAATTATTCCTGCTCAACTAAGAGCAGCTAAACAAACCATGGATCATTGTTCATGAGTCTGGACTGTAAAGGGACAGATGAGCCAGAGTTTAAAGGCTTCTGCTTGCAGTAGGACTGATACACAGCTTATACCACCCTGTTCACAATCAGCTGAATTTTTCTGAGTGTGCTGGCTTATCGTTCTGTGTGAACCAGGCCACAGTAACTCCAGACCAAGTTCCATGAGTATTCCAAAATGCACCCAAACCTCTGGTGTCTGCAAGATTTCTCTCTAATTCCAAGGAGCTATTTTTGGTATTGAAGGAGAAAAGGTGAGTGGGGCTGGCCTATGTTGAACTCAATGTGTAAACCTCTTTTCATGGAAGTTGCATGGACACTTCTGAGCACAAAACAAAGTTTTGGAGCAGTTCAGGCCACCTGTCTCCACTTCATTTATGCAACTGCCCAGACAGGAAAATTCTAAAACTATTCATATTCGATGTCTTAACCTAAAATATTAACTATTTGGGGCTTTGTATTAAAAATAATGTTTACAGCAGATATAAGTGCAGATATAACATTACAAACAATAAGATAAAATAAATTGCAGTTATAATAATGGAACAACTCTCCTGTTATTTGTTCACAGAAAAGCAGCTTGGTATGGATGGTCCAGGAGTTCTTTGGCTACTCAGTTCAATAATCAGCACCTTGCAGGTACTCTTGTAAAGTGAGCAAGTAGCAAACTTCAACCCCAAAGGCAATCAATATATATTTCTATTCTAGAAGAGGTCCCAGAGTTGAAATTTTAGAGACTAATGCCAGGAGAATAAATGAAAATAAACAAGGACTGTGTTTTCTGCCTACACTAGTTAGAGACAATGTGGATGTGTTTGGCTCTGGATGTCACACTGCAAATAGGTCATGAGCTGAAGAAATGAACCTGCTCTGCATATTTTAGGTGAATTTTAATGAATTCAGCAGCTGTCACACATGTGTCATTATTCTGAAACCACTTCCCCCAATGATAAGCTTCAGTCAGTCTTGGGGAAGGGGGACGGACTTTGACAAATGAATGCAGAAAAATGAATGCTTTAAAATCATCTATTTAGTCTGCCTTTTATCTCTAACTGCATCTTTTTGCCTTCACATTCTCTAGCATATGTCTGCGATTGTGAGGCCAAAGGGGTGCACTACTGACCCCCCCCCCCCCCCAGCTGGGACTCTCAGGATATTTTATGCCATACTCAGTATGAGACTTGTGTCATTCCAGTTCTTGTTTTTAATGAGTATGCTAAGATAATATAATAATATGTCAATATGTAATATAAACCTGACTGCTCTTTAGAAGGCCAGATCCTGAAGATGAAACTCAAATACTTTGGGCACCTAATGAGAAGGAAGGACTCCCTGGAGAAGACCCTGGTGCTGGGAACGATGGAAGGCAGGAGAAGGGGATGGCAGAGGTTGAGGTGGCTGGATGGGGTCACTGGAGAGGTGGGTGTGGGTGGACTCCGGGGGATGGTGGAGGACAGGAAGGCCTGGAGGAATGTTGTCCATGGGGTCGCGATGGGCCAGACGTGACTTCGTAACTAACAACAACAATATAATATAAAACAGTGCATTTTAGGGGGCTTGTTGCATGTTTGCTTTAGTCAAGCTGAGGAAACCAGCACACATATGTAGATGTATGAGTGCATATCTTTTGTAGAACTTGTGGGTACAAGTCCCCTTATATGCCTATCAGGGCATCCCCAAGCTGCTCCTGGGACTACCCAGCTGTATGGACAAAACTCTCCAGCTCGCTGAAAGGCAGGATGGCAGGACAGTGAGGAAAAGACCACCTCTGCCACTCCTCCCACTGCCCCATGGATGCCTGGATGACTCTGAATTGTGCCTTAAATAAAAACTGTCCACTCGAGCCTTAAAGAACAGTGCTCTTTCTCTAGAAGCCTGTTCAATAATTTAGTAAGGTCTCTCCTGCACAGTATTATTTAAAGAACAAACTTTAATTCCTTCCTAACCCATCAACTTCAAACCCTTTATTAAACAGGATATTAAAATGGCAATAAAGCTAAGAACTATATGAAAATCCATGTTCTGTTAAACCCAATTTCATGAAAAAATTGCTTACATGAGACCTTGATTCTCGAGGAAGCAATGAACAAAGAGTTTGTCTGTTTCGGTTGTGGGCATCAAGGTCTACAAATATGACAGACCACGAGCAACCCTGTAAATGGAACAGAAAATTAATACTACAAAAGATGTGCATAGCAATGATTGGAGTGGCAAATACTGGTGAAGTAAATGGATTCCTTGGACATCCAGATTACCATCAGCAATCATAAACCAGTAATTTCCGAAAGATGATGACATTTCCAAGAAAAAAATGTACAGGACACTGTTTCATTAATATTAAAAGGATTAAGTAGGTATTTAAAAACCAGTTAGCAGATATGGGGGTTGAGATTACCAAGCCTAACTCTTCAGATTTATTTGCATCTGCTATTTTAATTACACCTCTGGCAAACAGATGAAAGCTTTAATTATGCAGTTACTAACGAGATGAATGAAAACAATTTGCCCCAATAATATAGATCGGGCAGAGTATACTGGATTCCACACACCTCAAAAATCACAGAACGCGTGAGAAGCTCAACAAGAATCTGCATGAAAAATAGTTTTGGGGTACCAAGTCGAAGGCCAATAGGCACCATTAGGCTGTTCTGCTGCACCATGGAGCCATCCGAGGCTGGCTGAGAGGAGCCTCCTTCAGCCTAAGGCCCAAATCCAGTGCTGCAGATGCTCTGCAGGGCCACATTCTGGTGCTAGGTGGAGGCAAAGGTAGAAGGTGCAAAGCTGGCAGAAAAACAAACCATCGCTTTCTATCCACTGGGGAAGCCACAGAAGAACTTTTGGTACCCAGTTACTGGCTCTGATGTGATATCAAATGCCTTTGCATCAAAAAAGGAAACACTACAGAATTTCAAAGCCAAACATAGGTCAATAACCCCAGACTGATTTTTTAAGATGCGCAATTATGCCATTCCGCTTAACACAAGCTCAAATTGCTCTCAAAGAGGTCTTCTCTCATTTACACGCTTTCAAGTGCACGATCCGTGGGGGTTTGCAGAAAGGGATGCTGCAAACTCGAAGTGTGCAGTTTTCCGCAACTACTCGGCAGTAAGAATATTCTACCACACTGCTTTTTATGGTTTCCATTTTTGTGAACCGCCCAGAGAGCTTTGGGCAGTATAGAAACTGCAATCAACAAACAAGAACATTTTTGCAGCACAGAAGCAAATTAGCAGCCCGTTCATCCATTACAAAGAGAAACCAGTAAAGGGTATGTTATTAAACAACGCCACCAACACCACAAATAAGAAGCTAGTATCCACAAAGGCCCATTCAGGGCAGGTTCCCATGATCAAGGAAGGGAAATAACTGACTGTGGCTTATTTTCCCATCCTGTGCACGCTGGTCTCATGCCGCTGAATTCCCTTGATTGCCCTCTAGCTGGGCCTCAGGCACAAGCGTTTGCCAGTTGGCCAGTGGCAAAGCGGCCAGCAGGGCAGCACTGGGGGTGCTGCTGGACTGAGGTCAACTGCTCCCACCGGTGGCTCCCCTTCCATGAGGAGAGCAGAGACTAGGGTGGTAAAGACAGGGGCATGGCTGCTGTGGTGGCAGGGGACTGACGAGCTGGCAGCAGCTGTGGTGGGGCCAGTCACCGTTACTGCTTTGACCGGCTCCTTTGCTTAACGCAGAGCCTCCATACTAGACAACCCGACTCCCTCACCTCCCGACTTTCCCTTGCATGACTGTTTTCTCCACGGAGTCTTGCCTTCTCTTGATGCGTTCAAAGTACGGCAGTGACAGTTTTGTCCTTTTTGCTTCTGGAGAAAGCTCTCTCTCCTGGTTCTCTCCCCCCCCCCCCCGCCCCCTTTTAAAGTTATTTTAAAATGAACAAATGTAAATGTCAGATGTGCCCTTAGGATAGCCCATCTTAAGTTGGTTAATCGTCCAGGATTTGGGTCCTAATCTACCAGCTGAAACCTCTGCCAAAGAAAGATAACAATAATGAGGAGCACAGATAAGTACTGATGTTAGTATATTTAACACTAGCAGTCCTATTAGACAATGATATGTCAACATATTGTGTTGTTGTTTGACGCTTTGTTGTCCTTAAAGGCTACACTACTGTGCTTTTGGACAATGCATATGAAAATCATTCCAGTTTTGCTAACTAGTTATTTTAATGTTTTTATTTATTTATTTATTTATTTATTTATTTATTTATTAATTAAAACATTTCTATGCCGCCCCTTGCCGTAGCCTCGGGGCGGCTCACAACATAAACAGTGACAGCAACACTGCCTGTTCCTATGGTAAAAGGGCAAGACTTGGCTTTTCTAAATGATATCTCATGTAAACACACTATTATATGTAGCTGTAAGTTGAAGAGAGGGTACCAAATCGATCATATTTATTAATATAGCACCATCCCTGTATATGGTACTTTAGAGAAAAAAAAACAACAAGAAGTCAGATCATTATCTTAAGGGCTTACAGTGTACAAAAATAAATTCCTGGGAGAAAACAATGGAAGGAGGAGAAAAGTTGACACAGGTAGATGGGGAAAAGTATGTGCTGAAAATTAGGCAAGGTGATACAGACTAGGCAAACTGTATCATTGCCACAGGCTAAGAATTACTAGTGTGCTGCTGACAGAGTTCTAATGAAGATATACTATAATTTATAAACTACATCCAAAGGATAAAACTGCGCTTGTATTCAAAATGTGATACTGGCTGAGAGTTTAACCCTGAACCCACCCCTTCCACCCACTGGCTGCTTGCACGTCACCCTGTGCTCAGTCTCATTAGAAGGATCGAGTTAAAAAGTTGGCTGAATCCATTTAAGATGTCTTAAGCTTTCCAGATAAGCACATTTGCCACTCTGCATGGCATAAGTCTCTTGCCAGCAATGTCCGCAGGTCAAACAAAAACAACGAAGCTGCCACAAAAGAATCACCCACAACCTGATTTTTTAAATACCTTGATTCCTGGAATTGAACTAGTCCTTCAGACATTCTCAGCTGGCCTGTGTACACACTGTGTAGAATTATCTCTCCTCTACTTTCATTTATAAACGAAAGCAACTAATGCCATGCGAAAGACCCATTGCTTTTTACTGCTTAACTATCACAAGTTGCTCCTAAGCAACAGAACTTGTGAGGCTACAACATCTTGTCAGATGGCTTTCTATTTTCTGAAAGACATACAGATACTTCAGAAAGGCACACAGGGTTCTGAAAACAAGCAGTAGGGATCAGCAACTGCAGGCCCTAGGGACAAATGCAGTCATACAGTGAAATTATGAGAAGACAGAATGAAACATGTCTTCGTGCAACATATAATGAGTTTAAGATAGGATGCCACTAGGCTGAATACGGGCGAATTGTATAAATGTATGGTGGATAGGTCTGCCAATGGCTATTAGCCTTGACAACTATGGGGTGGTATAGAAATGAAATAAAAATAATATTAAAAACAACCACTCAGTGAAAACATCACTGCATTTATTGCTGAAGGCCAAATGCGTATGAAGCAGAACATGTAACCAATAGGGAAGGGGAATTTTCTGCAGCAGCACCCACTTTATGGGATGTGGTCCCAAATGAGATCCATCGGAATGTAGTTCGGCTCTCCGTAGCTTGCGATGGCTCTTAAGGCGTACACAGAAATACATACAGCATGGCAACAAAACGCTGTGTCAGTCTTAGGGCATGGCCATTCCTCCTGTCATCCAAATCCCATGAAAACCAGTCACGGACGATGCACTTGGGGCATTAGGCCTTTTGCTTGGGCTTTTATCTATAGTTTCGAGCTAGGAAACTGAGGCAGACCCCATTCTGTGATAACGAAGGGAAGGGCATGCATGTCAGAACTGGGACAGAGCAAGTGGTGAAGAGCCTGGCTCTTTGATGGATTCCAAATGATCTGCGAAGGGAGGTTGGGTGGGGAACCAGTAATGAGGCTGATAAAGCAACTGATGGTGCATCATACCAGAGACTGAGGACAGTTAAATAAAGGAGCATGTTTGTATGAGCAAATGGAGTTGTTTAATATCTCAATCAAAAGGATTGGAGAAAATGGGACAATTCTATATATTTCCATTTTCACAAAAATTAAATATATTTCTGGGCAGAAAAGTAATGCCTATTAACTAAGAGAAGAGCTAATTTTGTTAGGTTATGAATCCTGTATCCAAGGAAGGAGGAATTAATTTTCTAGCCTACTACCTTAAAAATAATAATACAGAATGGAGACTGAACAGACGCTACCATATGGATATTAGACATCCTTTGATCTGGAATGAAAGCAATTTACTGAAGAACAAGCAGTTAATTAAAAATGGGGAATGAACAAATACTTAAATATTTTTACTACCTGATTGCCGAAGAGGTTGAATCCATTAATTGCTTCAAGGGCTGCTTTTGCTAATCCAACAGAACTGAGAAAAGAAGAAAGAGAAAGAGAAAAGTTTGTTACATTTATAACTCTGGAAATAAAAATCCAACTCCCTCAAGGCTAACTCATACATCAGATTACTTCTTGCTGAGGGCTTTAAAAAAAACCCGGGTAAAATGATGATACAGTAGGCTTATTTTATCATTTTTCAGCAGTTTATTTTTAAGGTCACTAACCATCTGTTAAAAAAAATGTGTATTTTTGGAATCACCTTGCATTTGGACATCTGGCAATGTAGGTTTGAAGGTCTTACTGACAGGCCGTCGGTAGCAGAAACAATATCAGTACTTTGCACACGTTTTTGAAGCACTTGACAAGGAAGTGCTGATGCGATTTGCACATGTTAACTTGGTCACTGCTTATTAGACACATCGCCAATAAGTGCAGCACTTTACAAAGTGACACAAAGTGACCAGAACTCTGCTCGAATGAACTTAAATCAGAAGTTTGGCAGTGGGGGAGCCAACTGGAGAAGGAGAAGGACTGCCAAGTGCAGCATGTTCTTGAACTTCAGTCCAGCTGTAGGGTGAAGCCTACAGAGTTAAATCGAAAACTTCATGGAAACAGGGTGGGTTTTCTAGAAAGGAGTTCCAGGCATAAGGGGCAGCAATGTTAGCACCTTGGATGAGACTGTGCAATTCTTCTGTATTTTGGCTCAAGACCAGAAGCACCTGCTGACACTTTTATCAAACATGCTACAATCCCCCACAACATTCCCACTCGGGGAACTCTGCCTTGTGTGAACTCGAGTTAATGATTGAGCCAGGATCTGAAAGACACGATCTGATCTTTGTTCTCACTCATCAGAATTCAAGCAAACCCCAGTTCACAGGGTTCGGACGTGTGCAGGTTTGCACTGCGACCGCAAATGGGCTGCAGGGCATGCCGGCTGCCTTTTCAGTCAGGCCACAGCAGAAGGGCACAGCAGCTAACCGCTTTGTGCCAACCCAGCAACGGGGTTTATGCAGCCCATGCAGGGTTCAACAACCCATGGGTTATGCAAGGTTTGTTTAACCCTCACCTATCCTTGTCAGGTTTGAACAATAATATAAACCATGGTGACCATTTCGGTGGCTTAAATATCCCAAAGGGTGACCAATATGCACCACCACCCATGTGGCTTAAATAAGGGATTGGATCCACTCCTCCTGTCAAAGAGCATTCACAGATTGTGGGTACAGACCCTGACTGAGCAGCTGAAATGCCAAGATCCACAGACACAGAGATAAGCCAGGCTTATCTGAGAATCAGACAGTTTCAAATTAAGGGAGAAAGTTTTCTGAGTATGCTAATGAGACCTAACATCATTCATCTGAGGACATGGAGTCAGATTAAGAGGATGCTCCAAGTGACTCGCCCTTAAGCAGGAGTGCCCAACTTGAAAGAATGGTTTTTGAAAGAGTGGATTTCTCTCTTCAGACTGGAAGGAAGAAGAGGTACTCGGTTTGGAATGGACTTATCATAAAGCCTCATTCCCTAATAGCCACTATCTAACTTTGCTTATTCATTCTGTTATTGAGTTTCCACAGTTTTCTTCTTTTGTATTACAAAGGTGTCCTAGTCTTAACCTAAAAAACCCTTTAGTTAGAAAGCCACTGCCTTGTGTGAGTAGGAGGAGGGAAACAGCAGCCAAGATACCCCAGCAATCATGCTAATTGGGGAACTGTGGCTTCTCTGAAAGCAGAAATGGATGTTTCTGATCTTCTTGAGGCCACAAAAGAGAAAGAATTTGGTGAGGTTGGTTAATGTAGCAGGAAACTATTGCTTCCTAGTATAGTTGAAGAAAGCCAATGTATTCCAGGGATAAAACCCTTAAAGGAGGCAACTTTTCCTAATTTTCTTGCACCACACCTTTAGAATGACAACCCTGAGATAAATGTGCCCTGACTGTTTAGAAGGTGATATAAAATAATGGTCTGAACAAAACTGAAGACGTTTGTGTCTGTAACTCCCATCTGACCAACGGTGAAGAATTGTGGGAACTGCAGGCCAGAGATATTAGCAGACGACAGAGAGTGATTTAGTCTTGGCTTTGACTATCAGCAGCCTGCACAAGGATGGAAAAGGCCAGAGACCAACAAAACCAAATGCATTTACAGAAAATACATATAAGCTGGAAAAGCTAAACAAGTTCAGATTCAAAGCAAGCCTGTGACTTTGCTGCAACCACACAGAAAGAACTTCAAACAAGAATGGAAATGGGAACAAATGTCTCACCACATGTAGCATATTTATCATAAATATAGCTTCTGTTGGAACATTTTCATTAACAGCTTACCATGAAAAATTGATTTTTGACTGTTCCTTTATTTCTAATCGTCACACCAATAGGTTTCAAAGCCTTTCAGAAGCAGTGCCAGGGAAAAAACGCTTGTGGGGTTTAATTCTAATTGGCTGAACAAGGAAAAGCTGATTAGGTTGGCTACAAAACTCCACTCTAAGCAGCTGCCATCAAAGGCTGGTGAAATTCTGGTTTTTTGTCTCCTATCTTTGGCTGATTAGAAGCCATGCTTATCCAGATAATGCGAGACACATTAAGAGACGCTCAGATAGCTAATGCCCTGGTTCCCTCTTATGGAGGTTCTGAAAATAAGAGTGAGACTCAACCTTTTGGGGTAGCGTGCTGCAAGTCAAGTCAAAAACATTTGATCAGGGTGACAACAGGGCCTGCTATACACCATGAAGTAGTGCACTGGACTGACCATTCAGACTGTGAGTGACTCTCTGTGTAAAACAAATCACAACCACAAAAAAGCTGCCCCAAACCAAAGCTGGTCATTTCCATTTTCTTTCAACAGAATTTTACTTTTCAAAGAAAGGCAGCTTTTAAAAATATGATGCCCCCACCTGAGGTCCAAATTAGTGCTGTCCAGTCTATCACTTCAGTCACCTCGTTCCACTGCATGTGTAGTCAAGTCCTAGTTGCTCTATTATAAATAAAACCACTCTCTAAGCCTGGTCTGCCCATGTAACAACTGGTAGGATAGACTGGCCCACTTCAAACGGCAGGTAAGTGGTATTTCTCCAAGGAGTTCTCACCCTGCTCCACTAGGGAGCATTAAAAATATCCCTGCCAAGTAAAACTAAAAGTGTCACATCAAGAAAAAAATATTCTAGGTCAGCCCACTGTACGGTGGGCAAATTTAATTTCTGCAGTGAGTCCCTTCTTTCAAGACAGTGTTTAAGCCATGTAAGCCTGCAGAACTCGACCACGGCTCCTGAGTTCTGGGTGGCTTGTTACCTGTGGGCAGCAAGCCAGCCTGGTCATATTCGCACAACACAACCAGCAGTGCTACTGAGCCTCATCATTGCAAGATGCAACATCTCCCCAACCACAATCATGCATACTGGGCAGCTGTGGAGTCATGGCTAACCACCTGATGGAAGCCAAACCTCAGCTTAGATTCAGACACAGCTTGCAGTTTGTTCAATCAATATACAAGCAAATGGGTGGATGTCCAGCCCCAGAGAGCTACAAGGTACGGTCCTTTTCCATTCCGGCCTTCTGGAAACGAGACCCAGGCAGACACAATCCGTTATGGAACCTTGAAACCACTCAGTGACTCTAAGACCCTGCAGGGATGGAGTTCTGTTCCGGTGTGACATAGAGCACTACATGAGGACCTCTCCTGGCCCTCTATCATCTGGCCATATTTCTTTTCCAGGAAGCATCTGGCTTGCTGGGTGAGGGTCTTCTGAACCAATCCTTCATCTGCCATGCTTGTCTCCAACTAGAGCCATTGTAAGATATATATTTAGATTATTTTTAATCTGAAGTGAGGCATCCTGGTCATTGTTTTACAAGGGCACAATATGACGTTCCATTTTTTTAAAGACTAAAATAATTAACATTCAAGTTATGTCTAAATCAGTGCATGCTTTTATCCTGTCCAGTCTAACAAATAAAATCCGTCTCCAGAAAATCTACAAGCAATAGGCATAGAAATTACTTAAGGAAGTAATATTGTGCTGGGAGATAGGTTTACATTATCAAGGTATGATAAACCCATCACTTGGGATAAATGGATTACCTGCTAATGGAGGTACTTTGTTTCTAACAGCACAAATTCATTGTCTTTTGAGAAACAAGATTAGCCAACTGGCACTTATTCCACCCCCCCCCCCGCCCAGTTTAAGACATCAGCAGCAACACAAAAATCCTAAAAAGAGTAGCCAAAATTGAAGAATAATAGCATTAGCTGATTCATTTGCTCTGTATATGGGGCAAATGAATCACTCTAATAAAAAATAAGAGGTGTTGTGTTGTGTATGTAAGAGGCTGAGATCTCCCTCTCTCTCTCTCTCTCTCTGAGATGTCAATATATACATTACAGGAGTTAGATGTCTAAAAATACTGAATAGCTATTCCCAAGCACTGCAATCCACTATTATGGCTGCTGTTAAATTTGGGACACTTGCTTGATGGCTTCATGATTGTTGAAGGAAAAAGTATAAAAATAAAAGCATTCCACCACTATATTATGGTCCTTGGGCCATCTTTAATCCCAGCCCCAAGGATGAATAAAAAAAAACATGTTAACAGATTGAAAGGCTTCCAAAGAAAGGTTTTAGGTATACTGGAATTTCACAGACTTACTGTTTGAGCCAAACATTAAAGGCACATTTTGAAACCACAACCTCCTTACACATATCCCGAAAACATTTCAGTTTATCTAGGACATTTCCTCTCCTGCCTAAGACATGGTCAAAAATATCTATTTATATCACCACAGTATCACTTGTTGATGTCGAGAGCACTTTAAGGGATCATTAGGTTTTCTGAAACAGCAGTTACCTGGAACTTCAACAATTAAGTTGCTTCCCAAACCTTGAAAACTGACTGCTAAGTGATTAACTCTTCACTCATTCAAAACCTGGAGGCGTCCAGCTATGGCATGTGAACTAAGTAACATCAAAGGGGATTTTTAAAAAGCCTTCAGGCAGGAAACAATGAAACTAGTTTACAAAACAATGTAATCAGCT